TTGGTGAGTGTAGGGCCTGGTCCATTCTTTCTTCCATTTTTCTTCTTGTCCGGTATGGTAGCTGATTTCATCTTCATTTCGGTTGTTGGTTACTTGTTTTATTGGTTCTCTGATGGAAGAATCCAGTACCTGGAAAGAAACGAGAGAGATAAACGAGATTATTTGGTCTTATGTTGTTGAAGGTCATCTAATAAGGCTTCCGGGGGCGGAGGATTTTTTGAGAAAAAATAGATTAGTGAATGAAAACTGAAATTATATAGCATTCTGAAAGTATGATCATATAGTTGATCGCAATATATATGGATTTAAAAGCAATCTTTATTTCGAGTTCATATTCAAATACAATAAAACAGGGTGGTATGCGTTACCCTCTGTGGGGTCTTTTTTGCGCTTCACCCTGCTTTGGTTATTTTAGTTTTGCGCAGGACGAAATGTTTCCCTCTTGGGGACAGTTTTGCGCCCCGCCGCCCTGCTGTATGTTAACATTTATTTTCTCTAGGAGACATTTTAACGTTTTATCTGGCAGCCTTTGTATATCATTATATGCGTTTTGTCATACCTATTTGATCAATGAAGTCCCCGATTAGCTGAGAGGTCCAATATCTGTCATCGGGTGGTGGGGAAAGCAGATTATTGAGACAAAGTGCTTTATCCCTTCTTCGCAATTCGTCAATGACAGATGTTTATTCTTTAATTGATTGCAATCGACTAATAGGTGTGAAGGGGTCGCAATATGTCCACACGGGCATTTGGTTGGTGTATAGTCCACTGTATAGGAATATTCTTTGACAACGTCTATTGTTTTAAGTCTCGGGATGAGCTTGCATACTTTGATCGATGGATGATTGACATAGGCCTTGTCTAGAAGACTGCTATCTATTTGATAGCGATGGGTGTTTCCTTGTTTTATACGAGATTTCCATGCATTTTAGATCCTCTCTTTTGCTTTGCTTGTAAATTCCTGACTGCTATATTCTAAATTGTCCAAATGATTTAGTGACAACCCCTCCTTCGGTAAATGGTCGGCTTGTTCGTTTCCGATAATATTGACGTGGGAAGGGATCCATGCGAGGATCACCTCACTCCCATTGGTTTTTATCCTTTGGTTTAGGTACCTAATTTCTTGGATTATGTCCTGCTTGCTTTTGGGGGAGTTTGATTCTATGGATTTGATACTACTCAGGGAATCAGGCAGTTATGACGGCTGTTTGGCGTGTTTGCATATAGCTGCTCTAGTCGCTTTATGGCTTTGCTTTGTCTAGCCTGCTAAGTTGACTATCACCTGCGTTGGTATATGTCAAACATCCGTAGTCGATAACCGAGCGGATGAGTGATCTGTATATTAGCATTAGAGTGCACCTACCGGATCCCCATTGTTTTCCTCTGATGTATTTCATCATGTTGAGAGTTTTGGATGTGCGACTTACTATGCAATCAATATGTGGCTTCCAAGTAAGTCTCGAGTCGAACGTCGTGCCCAGGAATTTGCCCTGTGCTTTGAATTCAACTTTTGTGCCATTCAGATTTAAATCAATTTTCATATTACTATCAGTCGGATAAAACAGTATTGCCACTGACTTCCACTCTGATATTTTGAAACCCCAATCATTTGCCCACTTTGAGTTTTGTTCTAGAGTAAATTGCAAATTTGTTAAAAGTTTTCCTATGTCCATTGAAGCATTCCAAAAGGAGCTATCGTCTGCGAATAGCGCCGACTCTGTGCCCCCCCCCCCCCCCCAGCTTGGAAGGTCATTTATCATAATGTTGAATAGTATTCGACTGATGACGGACCCTTTGCGGCGTTCCATTTGACATTTTGAACTTTTCACTCATGCAACTCCCTACTCGTACCCTAATATGCCCATTTTTCAGAAAATACTCTATCCACCTATACATTCGGCCTTTGTGAATCAATCTGTATATGACTGACCTTTATAAGTTCAAGTATGCCTTCTGAGGTGACGTCACATCACGGGGTGTCCATCTCTATGGCGCGTGCATTGTTTACATGAGACGTTGTTGCGTTTAATTAACTGATCCGGGCAGAGTGGTGCGTTTTAGCCTACTCATTTTATAATATACCCTTTACACTAAATAGGAAATGAACCAGTAACTGGTCGCTAACCGCTACTCATCTTGTTGTTGTCCTTCTTCTTCTTGGGTGACGCTCTTTGAAAAAGCCCAAGGCTCCGTCAATTCAAGTCTGATCGACATGAAAATTGGCATGATTCTCCTCTGAACAATTCTGCATCGATGTGGCGAATTAAATTTTTGAATTTTATCCAACAACTTAGTCAGTTCCTGGTCCATAGTATGACCGTACTTTTATCTCTTTTTATCTTTTACTTAAGTTCAAACACCGTTATCTATTTTTCTAATAATTTTTTTTTTTCAGAATTTAATTTGCAGTTAATATTGCAAGCTCATTAAGCCGCACCGATGTCATCCTTCTCAGCGATTGTAGCGGCCTAACTGCTGACCAGTGTCATTATGAATAGATGAATAATAAAAGGAAATGCTATTTAAAAAACAACTAACCCCAGTTTTAGTATATGAACCTATATATCAATCAACATGTTATTTTAGAGTAGGTTCAAACAAGAAAGAGGAAAATACATTAGTGTGAGGATGATTCAAATTCGATGACAAGAAAGGGTCGAAAATATTTAGCACCCCAAAATATAGCTCGTTCATTGGGAAAATGTGCAGTGATAAAAAACCCCCACAAAAAACAACACGAGAAGAGACACTGTCAAGCACAATGGGTGGCATATTAATGTAGACACACGTGTAAAGAGGACCTTGTCGTGCCTTTGTGAAAAGTTTTACATTTAAACAAAACTACTAAACGTGTATTTCGTTTGTCAGTTTTTATTCATAGAGCCTGCATTCTAATTCTTTGGGTTAATGGAATACTGATTTTGTAAAAGGATTATTTTTGAGAAAATACCATGTTTTAATAATCAAGGACAAAAGAGGCCTTTAAGACATTGCAATTTAATGTTTTGTTTCTGATTTTAAGGTATGTTTTTGGTGGTAGAAAAATGATTGTTTTTAATTTAACGTGATTAGACAATGTAATAACAACACATGTTTGAATTAGTAAGCTATGCAAACTATGAAATAAATCTGTCATTTACTGCTGAGATACACGTTTTAGCTAGAAATATATGTGCCTCACAATCTAGGGTTATTTTGAACATTATATTCAAATTTAATGACATTTATCTTCTTAGTGACAATATTGATGGCCCGGTATTCGCTGGTCCAAAGATTTATTAATTTAAAATTACCTACCAAGCTAAAGATTTCGCGAGGGGGTGGGGGGGGGGTAGTTCCCGTTTAGTGGACGTGAAACCAAGCGTGGGTCCTGGTCCAGGATATCGGATATGTGTGAATTTTCTGATTCCCAGGATTTGCACAACTATTTTCTGTGTGTTTAAGTCCTGTCGACATCCCCATATGTTCACACCTTAATCCGACCCTGGTAAGTCCATCTCTCGACCCAGGACAGGTTGGATTAATGCGAAATTAATACAAAATTCGAACAATGCATATTATCTTCTTTAAGCGGCATTTAGCAATTGCCACGTAAACACAAAAATATAATATGGAACACAAAATACTATTTTAATTAAAGCGACGTTTTGTTGAGGGTTCTCTCAACATTTTTTATGTTCACTGGTCCTTAAAGTAGCTAAGTCTCTAACTCAATATCATCCAAAACCTTCGACATTGAAAACACGAATTATTTGTCAATTGTAATCAACATTGGGGTTGTGGTCTTACCGGGAAAAGATGGGCTTCTGATATCCAATATTTAAGACAAAATTCAGTGCAATTTGTAGCAAGCGACTCAAACAACTAGGTTAGACATATTCCACGAGTCATGTCAAACGGTGACCCCATATTCTTATCTGGAGAGCATGCGCAATAAATACTATCGGGGTAGACTGGAATAACCAGATGCAGAGATTGCCATTCGATTGAGACTTCTGGCGTATTTCGCCGAACATAACTTCTTTGAAATTAGAGTAAAAACGGAAACGATTGAATGTAAATCAGTTTATTTACATTCATATTACATTATGAACGAGGTTAGACATATTCCACGAGTCATGTCAAACGGTGACCCCATATTCTTATCTGGAGAGCATGCGCAATAAATACTATCGGTGTAGACTGGAATAACCAGAGGCAGAGATTGCCATTCGATTGAGACTTCTGGCATATTTCGCCGAACATAACTTCTTTGAAATTAGAGTAAAAACGGAAACGATTGAATGTAAATCAGTTTATTTACATTCATATTACATTATTATATACGTTGCGACCCATTTGTGTCAATTTGTAGGTCCCAGATTTTGGCGATTTAGCTCCTGTAAATCTCCCTTTCAATAGTTTTTTTGTCGATAAAAATAAAGACTTATACTTTAACAATGGTGCTGTTTTTCGAGGTGGTGATGTGTTCATGTATTCATGGGCCGACAAGGGCATCGCAAACAGTACGAACGTACCCCCCTCTCTATCTCTCTCTCTCAGGAATTTGGTAAATGGTTTCAATGGATTAAGAAGGTGACCATTTCGTCAATGGTTTCGACCAGCTGAGCAGTACACAAATAATGATTTCCACACGGACACCCTTTTCGCCAATATTTACTTTTTTGTTTTGACTAGCCGCTGTAAATATCTTTTTCTCCATGCTTTTTTTAACGGCTTTAATTAGATATTGATTGATTTGTATCTTAGATTTACCACAACCGATTTATTTTATCTCATAACCGCGGTCGCCATTACATAATAATACGTTAGACCCCCGAAATCTATTATACTTCTGACATATTCGTGTTTATCCACATAGTTTAAACATGTCAACCATGAAGAATGCTTTACAATCAATAGTCGAATAGGTTCTTCACCTGAAGTAACGATAGACTTGGCGTCAGGACAGTTTTGACTCATAGAAAATCAAAACCATTTGATACGCATAAGACTGGTAGCTCGAGATTTTATAGCGCACAGTTAAATGCTCACAAAAGAATTTTCGATTTGAACACGTAATTCAGCTTACATTGTTGAAAGGGTCTATTTTACGACCGGGAATACTATTAACCTACCAGTGTTCACGTATTAGCTTATTGTGAAGTGAAACAGAACGTGAACTCAATTCATTATGTTGATACACGATGTAATATACAGTTGACTTACAAATCTGTTACAGGTAAGTCGATATATTTTATTATTATGAAATAATATATTATGATGAAAATTATTGTTCTCGATATCGACCAAATCAGGAACGGATGCCAATCGCGAAATCGTTGTACATTTAAAAAAAAAATAGATTTCATAAACGGACTTTTGGTGCGAACTCGTTCCTTGTAGCCAACCAGGCGACATCGACTAGTTATATATATATATAGAAAACCCAAACCCGTCGGCGCTGCATGTCTTATTTGGAAAGATATACACCGTGTTGATACTAATTCAATATTCTGGATTTAACTGTCAAAGATTACAAGCTGTTGATTATTTTTATTATTAAAGGGGCATTATGGGAGACTAGATAAGAGTTGACAGTTCTCGCTATAATAGTTAAAAAATACATAAAGTAAATAAAATATGCTGAAAATTTCCGTCCAATTGCTCCACTGTGAACCGAGATATTAGCTTTTGAATTTTAGGCAAGCCTCGATCATCATCATTATTATAAAAAACAAACTCTCGATTGTCGATTTTTACGTATTAATTATTTTTCTGAAAATGTATTCCAATCCGCTAAATATCGCAGACTAGCGATGACATTGAGAGTTGATTATGGTCTGGATTAGTTAATTAATGTCTAATTAATAATTCAGATAACATTTCAGGCCTAAAGAAAAGTCCTGCAATAGGCAGATTTAGCTCTTGCATAATGTATGTTTAATTTAGGATTACAAAAATAGATATTTTGATTTTGACAATTATCTTTGTAGCTTAAACATACATTATGCAAGAACTAAACCTGCCCATTGCAGGTCTTTCTTTAGTCCTGAAATATTATCTAATTTATTAATTAGATATTAATTAACCTATCTAGACCATAATAAACTCTCTATGTCATCGCTAGCCTGCGATATTCGCCGGATTGGAATCCGATCTGCTGCCCAACGGTCGTTGATGATTAAATCAAAGATAGGTTGCCAGGCAACAAAACATACGCCCACAGCAGCTAAATCGTCCGGGTGGTCGTCAAGGGTTGTCGCATATTTATTCCTTTGTGGTAATTGGGAGCCTTTACAAGACAGTTCCATACAGACCAGATTATAAATTTTGTCGTTTTAGGGTTTACAAGGTTCTACAAACTGAAACAAGGGTCTCATCTCTGGAAGTAATCTACAGAAATTGTTGAAATTTGACAGGCTTTTTCGTTTTACTAATTTAAATAATGCATACAAATTTCATACAGATCACATTTGTCATTCAAACGTTCACAATCGCCATAACTCTAGAAATTATTGACGGAAATTGCTGAAATTCAATAGACCTGTTTCACAAATTTAAATGATGCATATAAATTTCATACATATCGGATTATCAATCGAGCATTAACAAGGTTTAACAAAGTGAAATAAGAGCAATAACTCTAGAAGTAATTATTGTAAATTGCTGAAATTCAATAGGCTTTTTCGTTTCACTAATTTAAATCATGCATATAAATTTCACAAAGATCAGGTGATAACTTTTTGCGTTAGAGCGTTCACAAGGATCAATAAAGTGAAACAAGGGCCATAACTCTAGACGTAATAAACGGAAATTGCTGAAATTCAATAGGATTCTCCGTTTCACTAATCTAAATAATGCATATAAATTTCGCAAAGATCGAATGATAACTTTTGGCGTTGGAGCGTTCACAAGGATCAATAAAGTGAAACAAGGGCCATAACTCTAGACGTAATAAACGGAAATTGCTGAAATTCCATAGGCTTCTTCGTTTCAGTAACCATAATAATGCATATAAATTTCACAAAGATCGGATGATAACTTTTGACGTTAGAGCGTTCACAAGGATCAATAAAGTGAAACAAGGGCCATAACTCTAGACATAATAAACGGGAATTGCTGAAATTCAATAGGCTTCTTCGTTTCAGCAATCTAAATAATGCATATAAATTTCAGAAAGATCGGATGATAACTTTTGACGTGAGAGCGTTCTCAAGGATCAATAAAGTGAAACAAGGGTCATAACTCTAGACGTAATAAACGGGAATTGCTGAAATTCAATAGGCTTCTTCGTTTCAGCAATCTAAATAATGCATATAAATTTCAGAAAGATCGGATGATAACTTTTGACGTGAGAGCTTTCACAAGGATCAATAAAGTGAAACAAGGGCCATAACTCTTAGACGTAATCTACGGAAATTGCCGAAATTCAATAGCCTTCTTCGTTTCAGTAACCTAAGTAATGCAAATAAATTTCAGAAAGATCGGATGATAACTTTTGACGTGAGAGCTTTCACAAGGATCAATAAAGTGAAACAAGGGCCATAACTCTTAGACGTAATAAACAGAAATTGCCGAAATTAAATAGCCTTCTTTGTTTCAGTAACCTAAATAATGCATATAAATTTCAGAAAGATCGGATGATAACTTTTGGTGTTAGAGCGTTCACAAGGATCAATAAAATGAAACAATAGCCATAACTCTAGACGTAATAAACGGGAATTGCTGAAATTCAATAGGCTTCTTCGTTTGAGCAATCTAAATAATGCATATAATTTTCAGAAAGATCGGATGATAACTTTTGACGTGAGAGCGTTCACAAGGATCAATAAAGTGAAGCAAGGGCCATAACTCTAGACGTAATAAACGGAAATTGTCGAAAATCAATAGGCTTCTTCGTTTCACTAATTTAAATAATGCATGTAAATTTCAGAAAGATCGGATGATAACTTTTGGCATTAGAGCGTTCACAAGAAATTGTGGACCGTTCACAAGAAATTGTGGACGATGGATGGACGGAAGGACGGACGTCCGGACCGACAGACGGACGGACGGGGGCGACGGCAATATACGTCCACATTTCAATGTGGGCGTATAAAAATGGATAATCGAGACTATGTTTTTATCGTACCGACTTAAGTAATGATGACCAAGGCTAGGCTTAAAATTCAATCGCTAAATTCTCGGTTCAGCGTGGATCAATTTGACTGAAATTTTCAGCAAATTGACTTTACATTATCTAGTTGTTAACTATTACAGTGAGAACTGCTAGCTCTTTATCTAATCTCCCATAATGTATCTTTAAATATACGATACTTAAAACTCAATACAAATGTTGGTCTTTTATTAGGTCTACCGTTTAGTGCTTAAATGTGGCATGTGTGTCCAATCGTTCGGGTGGAAGGTAAACCCACCACTGCTCGGAACAATCCCCCTATAGTAAACTGCATGGATATGCCCATCTTCATTATCCCGGTTGGTGCAGAAAAGTAGGACGCTAAACCCATGCATGTATTTAATTTCCATGATACTATTGGTATGGATATTTTACTTACTGTGTTTATAATCCACATAGTTTGAAAATAAAATTATGCAACTGGGGAAGAAGATTGAACCTGTAACGGAATTTGACCATTTTCCTAATCAAAATTGGCAGCCGACGATGATGGTTTGAATTAATATAAGTAGGGATAAAGTCGGTCTGGCATGAATTCTCGCACATAACATTATTGTATTTGATTAGAATCATATACCACACTGAAGTTCTTTAATTACGATTTTTGTAACAATAAGAGTGTTTGTTGTTTTTTTCTCAAAGGGGTATTTATCTACATAGATATACATCTTAGTTTAAACATGAAATAAACAGGGTCAGATATTATTTTGTAGGGTATTGAAATTAACATTGGTCGTTTATTTGTAAGAGAGAAAACTTCATTCTACACCTGTTGAGAAATTTGTGATCTTCAAATATTTAATTGCGAAGGATTTTTTGTTGAAATGTTCTAATGTTGAAATAAATAACTCTTGCGAATTTACCATCTCGCCGAGGAGTATTTATTAGCCTCTTGAGTTTTGATTATATTTGCGTTGAACTGGGTGGGATTTTTCAAACCTTTTTTGTCAAAAATGAAAAACCAAATTGTTATTCGAGTACCGAAATGAATGACCTCTCCTTTTATGTTGAATAATGGACTTTTGTATGGTGACCCATGGATGCCACATGAGAATTACAGCATTATCTCAAGAATATCAATGGGAACTTTCATAAATTCTGTTTAAATGTGGTGTTGTAAAAATAAAAAAAATCTATTTTAAAGAAGAAGTAAGGTGATAAAATCAAACAAAATGTTAAAGACAAACAAAATAAAAATTTAAGAAAATAATATCGTAAAACAAATTCAAAATACTCTTAAATATTTCTTTTATAAAAGTGGAAAAAAAAGTAAAACAAATTCAAAATATTCCTTTGATATTGTTACTTTGTAATTAGCTCGTAGAATATAGATTTTTTAGAGGTGATTATACACATATAAATTACACTCTTCACAATAGGTATGGATTACTTACTATAAATAGAAGACAGTCTCATTAGTTTCAACATAATATATGTTCACTATACATTCGCAAATGTTCCAGTTTTTATTCGATATTCATGTATTATATGATGGTGTCTTATTTCTAAATTACAATAGCATATTGATGAAATTGTGTACATGGATGAGTCTGACACTTGGATCAACACAGTTTTATTGTTTATTGTTATCTGAATCATCAGTCTACTAATATCGATTTATATTTATTTGTATGGAAGCTTTACACTTCTAGAAAGGTAAGGTAAATTGTAATGTGATCATCGGGCATTGGTGGTGGATAACCGAAAAATCGAAATGAGGGTTCTGGTTAATACCTATCCACGGTCATCTCTTATTTAGAAAACGGTGCGACTGACTTTAATATTCCAGCTAAAAACACTATACGACAATATACGTGTAAGTCAGTCATTGAATTTACATGATAGATTAGTAATTTCATTTACAGGTAAGGCATACCAAAGAACCGGTGTCTCCATTGTTATTCTGTTGACATTCGTTATTGACCTCTTTTTTTACCTGTATAAAGTGACAATAAATATCTGAATTATTCCGATGGAGGAAAAGTAGTCCTCCAGACATCGATTAGGTTAATACATTTCTCTCTCATTAAACTTTCAGAAATATGTGTGTAATGTGTCATGTGAGGACGAGAAGCAGTTAGCTACGAGCCAGCAGAGGGTAACAAACAGGGACGTACGTTTGAGAATGATACCAGTGCTCACGCGCTGAAAGGACAATCGGGATAATCGAACGTTACATACGTCTGCTATACCAAGTGTGTTTTTGTGATCCCAGAGCAACCACTCGAGTGTAAACGTTGTAGGTCCATATGATTTTTGACAACAGTACATTCAGTTGTTTAGGTTGAAGTTAAGCCGTTCAACCCAGGCTGCTCTAAAATGGATTAAGCTCATAGTTGGTAAAAAGTGAAGAGAGGGATTTGTAAGCATCTGAAAAGTCGTCCAAAGCAAAACCAAGGTAAATACAAATACCCTTAATTTTTTGTTTACGAAATACATGTACGTCTTGTTTTCTCTTTCTTGTCTATAGAAAATTAGCATGAAGCAAATTCAACGCTTCAAGGCACAAGCAATTTCAACTATAGTGTTTTAGCAACAACACGTATTATGTTTGTCAGTCATCTTCGATTTTCATGTTTTTGTTTTAAAAAAAACTGCCGATCGACAAACTAGGACTTATGGCTACCGTCAACAATATTTTTAGACTTGACTTCAAATTGTGATACCATTTGACAACTTTAATATATCTTAAACATGGGTGTCCCGAATGGAGCTTCTGGTTGAATCTTTTTTTTTCGGAAAATGGTCCCATTTAACTCAAACTAGTAACAATAATCTTACAAAAAGATTACCCTGCTCTCCTGGCAATTGAGTATTGTATTAGCTGCAAAAAATGTGTTTATCTTTTGCAATGTTACCCTAACCACGAACCACACTCACAATAAAACATCCCACATTAGAAACCGCTTTTTTGTGTAAATAATGATTCCCGGACTTTGACAAAACATCCAAATTTAAGATGGGTAGGCCTACAGTTATACTGGCCTGCAGAATTATAGATTTCAGTGACACAGGGGTGAATTTTTTAAAATCGGAAACCGCAGCTGCATGGGATCGTATTTTTGGTCTTGTCACTTTGTAGCTTGGGTATTATAGTTTGTAGTTAAAATACATGGATGTTTAGTCTCGACCAGTGATGTTGATGAGATCTTTATTCACTCGACTGTTATATTACTTACAATAGGCTGTAATTTCACAGAAACAGAGTAATTAAGGAGGAATGTTTACCGTACCTTTTGTTTATCAAAAGTCTAGAAGAGTTTATTGTTGTGATGTAACCCAAGTTCAGCTGTGTTTTACACAGTGGTTGATGTAATAGTCTCAAGACATTTGCCAGTAATTTGTCCTCAACAAACACTTATTACTTCTTGACATTTTTCGTATATTTTTGTGTATCATGTCGTCAGTTCAAGGCAAAGTAATTAGTTAAATAGAACTGGAAATATGTACAGAAGGCGTCAGTAGCAATACATTTTCAGTACACTCTCAATTAAAATAATAGTGCATAAAGTAATTCCCATATAGAAAAATATTTGACTAGCATTACTGTATGAAATTGTTGTCATTTGATGAAGCAAGTCATGAGACATTGGACAATAGCATGCGAATTTCACACTAGACGCTTACCATTGCCAGGCCTTCCGCTCTGCACATTTTACAAGGGGAACAGTGCGGAGATCGAACCCAGGACTTCCTGGTTAGTGAGGGGGGGGGGGGCAATGGCGTTATGGTTTTGAATTTTTGCGCCCCCCCCCCCCAAATGTGTTTTTGCCAAAAATTCACGCGGTTTCAATGCGGCTTTCAACATTATAATCATAATCATAATGCTTAACCACTGTCAAACATATATATATACGGTGGGTCAGATATGCTACAAGTCGACTCTAGCATGTTCCACAAAACCCGATATTTCTCGGCGGCACTGAGAAGGAACCCACCCCCCACCCCCCACCCCCACACACACACATATATAAATATTGTTTTTGGAGGACTGGACGGAATCTTGTTCCCCATGCAAAATCATGGGTCACCACACCCCTGCGCCATAACCGGGCACCGCGGCTCCAGAGATAAATCACTACGAGAAGTAGGCCTATGAATTGATAATAATATATAAGATGAAATAAAACTATGACCATTACACTGTAGTTCAATAGTTCAGTTATAGATTTCTGAAGAAAATAAACACAAATACTAAACAGCTTAAAGTGGATTTATTGTGTCACTATAGATAATTCCATGTTGATAATGTTTTCAGTTTACTAAATCTTTTACAAACAGTGTAATATTTGTTGAGGGAGGATTGTTATGTAAATTTCACTGTGGTCCAAAAATCCCTGGTATACATAAAAAAAAAAAAAAATAAAAAAAAAAAAAAAGACTTGTAGTAGACGTCCACTTTATTATAGTGCCTTTGTTAGAACATGGTCCGTTATACCTGTTCTCTCAATGTCGCCATCTCTATTGACACTGCCTCCATGATAATATATTGTATATTATTATAAGATTTATTAGAAGAATTGTTTGTAGGTGTATTGTTTGATGGGTATTATCCTTTAAGTATCGAGAAAAAAAGGTTTAAGGTGTACATGTACTTAAAATAATATATTTATATAGTAAAAAGTTATGATTGTATTTATATTAAACAGATGTTTTAAACACGACTTTAATTTCATGTGTCACGACTTAACATTCCCATGTTTCTTTATGATAAAATTAACACCACAAGCTAACACAAATATTTAAAAACATTTTTTTTTTGTTTGAAGTAACACTGTCTTAGTAAACAGATTTTGTTATCAGACCCATGTCTTTTTGATTTAACACCTATTCCAATTTCAAAGAATGTTCAGCGGAAGCATTTTAAGTTCAGGTGTAGGCTGAGTTTAAATTGTAGTAAAATGTGGACCTGCAATATTATAGAGTAATTAATTTGAAGGTGCATTATGTAGGAGCCAAATCTGTTGATAGCAGGTCTTTCTTTTGGTTTCAAATGTTATATGACATTTATTCACACGGCTAGCACATAATTAACTCGCCAGGCTATCGGGTGGCTTAGATATTGAATGGATTATACCATCTGCGCCATATAATCGGTTAACGTTAAAATGGACGTAACTGAATAAAAGGATTGGTTGATCACGCGACAGTGTTACGTGACAATCGGCTATTTCTTGTCAAACCCTCAAACAATTCGCTCAGAATGAAGTAATTTGATTGATGTTTTCAAAATATTCATTTTTCATTATGTATTTTTGAACTATTATAGCAAGAACGTTCAGCCCTTTTTTTAATTCTTACATAAGGCCCTTTTAAAATTCATATTACTGGTTATACAAAAGTAATAACAATTTCTATACAGTATATAATCTCTAGTCTTAGCAGGTCATTGATTATTACTCGACGTATTGTTAATCACCCTGTACATGCGGAATCAATCAGTTTGGTAAGTGAATGTAGATTTAAGTGGGGAATTACCTGATAACTAACAATAAGGATTTCCCGATGTAGGTATAATGTTTATACACGTGAATATGTTAATAATTAAGCCACTGTTATACACCGCTAAACATTATTAATATTTAATAAGGAACAGTTCATTTATAATTAACTAAAGGAAACTATAGGGGTTCTAATATTTGAATCAGCTAATCCATGATTAGCTGTATTGAAGCATTCAGGCTATATAGTTTACCTGTAATATATTGAATACCACGCAGGCATTGAACGTACTATTTTCTAAGAATTTTTTTTTAAAATTATTCGAAAAGAAAGAAACCAAACAACTTTAGTGTTCCATTATATCGTCGTTAGGGCAATATATTTTTGCGATAGAAAGCAGGCAGTTTTTTTTAGGTAAGTAGTTATTGATGTGCTTTTTGTGTACATAAAAATATCTGGGGTTTTTTTTTAAATCCCTAGTTTTTGTTATTTGAAGGAAATTATCCGTATTATCACAGAAATATCTGTTATTTGAGATAATTAACTAGTACTTTTACCAAAAAACCTGTTGGTTTAGTTGCATTTCTGAAACTTCGGTATATTAACATACTTTTCAGTATATTAACTGATAGAATCTTTTCAATAACAATATAAATTGTATTATTAATCAAAAGACCTGTAATATTCCAGAATGTTATGTTATTTCACATAGTTATACTGTTGGGAAAAGTTAACGCATGCGCATTGCAGACTTTAGCGGTGAATGTTTGAATGTGTGTTGATGCAAGAGAGAGAGAGAGAGGATTAAGCACACAGACTAGGTCATTTCGGCCCTAACACATGGTTCAATTATATTTTAATAATTCGCTTGCGCGTAGGGTCTTTAGCAATGGGAGGAAACCGGAGGACCCGGAAAAACCCACGAAGTTGGACAGGCGACCTTACACCTTGTCACGTACAACCGGGGAATCGAAACCACGCCAGTTGACTCAATGATAGACCTTATGATATAGCGCTCACGCGTTAACCATTCGGATACCCCCTCCCGCCTCCCCCCCTCGCCCCCAAGAATAAATAATAGAGGGAACTCAACAACAAGATATGAGGGTTGATCTTCCTAATAATAGGTATATGTGAAGACAAATGAACCGTGACTGTTCTTGGATTTAAAGATACAGTCGTTGCACTGTCTGTTTAGTTTGCTGCATTTTTATATTTGGAATATGCGATCAATTCATTATGGCGGCCAAGCAAATGTATATCTGAATCGACAATGTAAAAAATATTAATGTGTCAGGCACAATGACCTAGAGAATATGAAGCTAGGCTATTAAATATTGGCCAAGAAAGCTTCACTGGCTTGTTTTTCAACTTGTCCTTCCTTGTCAATGGTGCAGGTTGGAATTTATTCTCCTTGGACGAACAACTGGGGCCCTGTGTGCTGTTGACATAGTAAGCCATAAACAGATATCCCCACTGCTTTCGCAAAATTTTGCTGATATGATACTCCATGACATAAATTCATATCTGATACATGGCATTTAACAAAATAAATTATTTTTTACAGAAGATGATTCTGTTTTATATTTGACCAAAATAATTATGTTAAAGAACAGAAAAGATTCTGGTAGCAGATTTATCCCATTTTGTTCTGTATTTTTGCTGCTGTGGCTAAACAAGAATTTTCATTTATATAATAAAAAAAAAAAGAAAAAAATTCTGGTAAATCTGCTGCCAAAATTTTTTCTGTTTTTTTTTTTTTTTTACAGATTTATTTTTTACAGTGTATGTTGAATGGATTCCGGAAATGGGTCCTTCTGATTTAAAAATAGAATTTACGTCTTTTCTAAAATACAAATCGTGATAAAAAATGAAGTTTGCGGAATATCCTATAAGGACATATTTGTTTTGGGTAAACCATTAGTGTTATCAAACCGGAGCTTAATTGATTTATTTAATGTTGGTGATGAAACGTGTTGAGCGTAGTTTTATAATGTGTTCCTAATTTGTCTTATTTTGAGAAGATAAATAGGTGTTAATTATATAATGCATCTAATAGCATTAAGTTTCTCAAATTCTATATTCCATATTCATAAATATTTTGAAAGAAAGTAACAAATATGACAAAAGCAAATCATGGAACTGTGTGTGTTACCATATCACATTTGAGATTACAAACGAAATTGAATGATTAATTTGGCACGATCAAAGTTTACCTACTTTCGATGACCCGGAGTTATCAACAATTCGTTTCATGCAGAGAAGGGGGTAGAGGAAGCCGTGATCCTGTGTGTTGTGGGGGGGGGGGGGCATCAAATCAAAGTGTTAAATCAAAATATAAAAAGAAAGTGTTTTGAAATTTGAAATTATCGCTGTTAACTCGGTGTACTTAATTTGAACAAAAAGTATATTTCATCCGTTTTTACATATTTAAATTGTCTTCCATGCTCACATAACTGGGTACAAGCCATGATATATACCAAACCTATGAATGACACACAAATAAATATACACACACGTTTACGTTTATAGTTGTTTTGACAGTGAAATTTTAATAATGTGTCCAGAAAATGATTTTATCCATTCGTTAAATAGCTTCACTGAGCATGGATACATGTTGGAATGTTATTATCCGATTATAGCTATATACTTATTGTTATACATTATACATATTTACCCGTATAATACAAAACACCCATAGAGTTGTATTTTGGGCGTATCAGATTTTATTGTCATGCCGAAGTTAATCTTTGCTTAACAGGATAAGCTATATATAGGATATGATATAGTTATTTAATTAAATCCTGTCAAGTATACATCGATCGATAATAAATCTTCAATATCCACCACATTATGACGACTAACAGGGCGTTTTCTGACATATTGGCTTTTATATATACATATATGTATATATAGACTCTCAATAAATATGTCACGTCATGATGTAAAGTTTTATTCAAAGAAGGGCGGAAATTTAATGAATTGTGAGTATTTTTTCCACTTAAACATGCATTATGCAAGAGCTAAATCTGATTATTGCAAGTCTTAATTTAGGCTTCAGATGTTATAGAAATTATAAATTAGATCTTTATTTAAACAACAAGACCAAAACCAACTCTGTAGACCCACGGGTGGCTCGGCTACAGCTCGGATTTAAATAGGGTTTCACTAATTGATTAAATCAAATAAGGGGTAACCTGATGAAAATACGTCAGTTAGATCGAGGCTAAATGATAGAGTGTACTTAGCGAGGCTGCTGTAAAGCGTTTCCGTTTGCCATTGAAAACTTTACTTGATAATCGAGATATGTAGGTGGAGTTAACGCCTGTCAATCAAACGATCGGTAAAGGTGAAGACGCATTTCGCTACCATTTTTAGTCAAATATTACAACGATGATAACTATGTTCAGAATAAAGTAATTTGACTGAATTTTTCAATATATTTTTCTTTCATCATCTACTTTTGAACTGTTATAGCAAGAATGGCCAGCTCTCTATAAAATTCTCCCATAATGTATCTTTAATGTCGCCCATGATTTCATATTTTTTGTTTGTTTATGTGATTTTGTTAGAAATTAACTTCTATCGTATCATACAATACATAACTATTAGGGACTGTGGTCGAGTTTGGGCCTCTCGACTAGAATACCCCAACTTCTAATTCAAGTCCGGTTCTTACATGTCAGGACTGGCATAATATGTTTGGCTGACACGGACAGTGCCTAATTGTTCGGATGGTACGGAAAATCCGAGGTCCATACCCATACGCACATTTGCGTACATGTAAACGAACAGGTGGCAGTTTGAATTCGAAGAAGAGCACTACCACTCCCATGTTTGTCTCAAAATACCCGGAGCATTATGTTGATGAGATCGTAAACAGCATTCTATTACTTTAATGTTGACTTTATCTATTTAAGATCTGATTTGAAAGAAAGCACAAGAAGAGATAGTTGCAGTTGAAAATACAATATAAAAAAAAAACCCTTCATTACTTATTCCCCTAAGAATAACATTAAGCTTGAAGCAATATTTAACATCAACATTTGAAAACTGATTTAAAGAAAAAATCGGTTGTTGTATAATGTTTAATTTTATTTGGTTCAATCGAAATACGGCGTCATTGGGTCGAGTTTCAGAAAGTATGTACCCGTAGTTAATTATACTGTATTATATGAAGGCAGACCTAATTTACATGTATATATACACTGGGTCACATGTTGTATTGTATCCTCTAATTATTTATAATCAATGTTGCTTCTGAATAGGTAGCCTAATGTATAATGAATACTTTTGAGTGTTTTTCAATCTATAAGATCGCCCCGGCTTACATATTTAAATTCGCAATGTAAACGCTCCACAGACTACACAGAAGGTCTGTTTTTGAGTCAAACCACAACGTACTATGGAGTACACTGCAACTATTCAAAATACTGTTATTGGACATACAGTCATGGCCTGCTATGGCAATGCTATGTTCGATGTAGCTGCAAGACCCGGTTTTTTTCGCCATTATGTTCGTTTGAAATCTCTTAATATTTGTTCTGACCTTTATAGAATTACAGTCTGGTGATTTGTTAATATTTCATACCAGAAATTACAGGGAAATTGAAACACATGAAATTCAATAACTATCAAAATGTATTTAATGTAATCATTTTTAGTTTTAAAACATTCTTTTATTTTTTACATATGCATACTAGTCATCGCTTATACATATAGGTTTCTCTTCTCATGTCTATTTGCTTTTACAGAGTTACTGTCTCATAGTATGGCACACATCCGATTTCAATTTCACTTCAATATTCGACGAAAGGATAGGTAGATTCCGGGGAATTCTCTCAATACAAAGCATTCACAATTTCACAATATGTTCCAATGATTGGATCTTACATAGCATATTTAAGGCGACTTTTTAGTAATGGTTGTGTTTATAGCGACGTTTTGTTTTAGGGTCATGACTTGATATAAGATCCACATTATTTGCAATTCAAATAAGAGCATCGTTATACATTTAAAGAAACCTGGGTAAGACTTTAGAATAAATGATGCGCGATCGACAACAGAAACTCACGAGGGTTTTGTTTTGGTGAAAACCTACTCCTAAGTTTACTATTTATATCCATCAGGTCCGGTGGTGTGGGGGTGGGGGGCTTCTATAATTTGACCGCAAGTATACTTTTCTCCGGGTTATTGCACGCAAATAATTATGCCGTTAGACAACAAGGTTTGATTTTAACATAGAAGTGTGACTTCTAGAACGTAGACTTTCAGAAAAAAAACCCAGTTATACTCTATAGTGATCCCTGGGTAAAGAGACTTCCGGTTGCGAGGGTCACGCTTAGTTAATTGAACAGTCGATCTTTATTTCAACCCCATCTCACTACCGTTGCATCTATGATGACAGATTAGGTAATTAACACCCCCCCCCCCAAAAAAAAAAAACCCCAACAAAACAAACGACGGGATAGACTTTTTCTCACACTCTTTCTCTGTGTCCCTTATCTATCAAATAATTCACTGCTAGTGCTATCAGTTATGAACAGTTAAAACAATCAGTTGCCATGCAAAATACGGCCACATTTTCCAATGGGGAAGAGGTAAAATCAATAGGGCTCATCCTCTCATTCAAGATCTTTTGATCCTTAACATATTTGTTAAGTTTCATCAAAATGGGACAACAATTGTAGCCCTCCGGAGGGCCTACAAAATCCATACATATTTCACATTTTGCGTAAAAAGCAGGGGCTATAGCTCTAGAAGGTGAGGTCTGCTGCGTACCAAAGTCGAACTCATCCAAGAATTTTTGATCCTTAACACATAGTTTAAGTTTCATCTCATTGATCGGAAAAAAATTGTAGCCTCCGGAAGGTCCACAAACTTCATTCATATTTCATATTTTGCTTAAAAGGCAGGGGGCCATTGAGCACCAAAATTGAACCCATCCAAGAGCTAGTAACACTCGTTTTAAGTTCATCTAATTCGGAAAAAACTTCTGACCTCTAGATGGTCCGCAACCTTGGCATTACATGCTTTTATACTATTTGCGTAAAGGGGGGTGGCCATTTGACTGAAAGTTTCGGTCCGATTTTCAAGAAATTTGGACTCAACCGTAATTATTATGTAACGGTGATATATTTGAACGGTTTTGAAAATAAGATACACATGATGACCTCTAGGGTCCACAAGCTAAAAACGTGACATTTCGTACAATCAGGGGTCATAATCCAGAAAGTTACCGTCCAATACGCGCCAATATCGAAAGTAACCCAGACCTTTGGGATATATCAAAATTGGATGAAACTTCGAACCTCTGGATGGCCCACAACCTGGGTATTATATATGCTTTAAAGGGTAGCGGGCAGTTTCGGTCCGATTTTCACGGAATTTGACCTCAACCGTAATTATGGTGTAACGATGATATATTTGAACGGTTTTGACAATCAAATAAAAAATTACTGTGAGGTCTAGAGGGCCCACAAGCTAAAAAAAATGTCGAGATCTTTCTTTTATAAACATACATTGTCAGTTTCATCAAAATCGTATAAAAATTGTGACCTCTAGAGTGTTCACAACCTTGGTATTATTATAATATATGCATATTTTTGTCAAGTTCAGCATCGCAGGAAACCACCATCGACTGTGTTTTCATGGTAAGAGATTTAGAAAAGAAATAATCTCATTAGTCAGAAAGCGTCTCTGACGATCTAGATCCCTGTCCATTTTGATATTTTTAAATTCGTACTATCTTTTGTCTATTTCAGATACCGGTAGGCGATTCAAGATGCCTTCATTCTGGAAGTGTCTTTGTATGCCAAGTAGAAGAACGCGCATGCGTTCTGAGAGAAGAAAATGGCAGAATTTGAATATTGGTTCGGGCCCGTCTTTATCAATTCAAAGTAGTAAACATAGATTATTGGACCACAGTGACCCAGGCTTTTACGACTCAGATGTTATTATACCTCCAGTGGTCGATAGCTGGTCTAGACTAGAAAACCAACCTGGCGTGAAAAAGCGAAAAAAATTGGATGAAATTTTTGAACGTCCCAAACCGGACCCTTTTCAAACTTCTGGCGATTCTTTTCATTTGAAATCAATAGGATTTCCGTGTATGGTGGCGCCACATCTTGAAAGCATGTACGGTTACACCCCAAGGGCAGTGCAAGACATTTACGCCTCGTCGGCTTTAGAGGGTGGCGCGGTGGAGGACTATTTTACAGAGTGCCGAAATGACAAAGTTCTCGACAAATTCGCTACAGCAGAACGCTGCAACACGAGTTTAGAAACGAACACGATTACAAATATAGTGCATTCCAAAACCGAAGATCGTAGGAAGAAATATATCGTGGACAGCGAGGGCGATTTGTCGTCATCAGAATCGGACATGGATGTTACTGACTTTCCAGAACTTTTCCCAAATACCAAATATCATGATGTTTGGCCAAATATTAACGCATTAGCGCAAAGTACAGAAAGTCAAAATGGTTATATGTGTCAATCTGAGTTTCGCGGCTTTCAGAATCAACATTTTGATGAAATATTTGGTGGAGACGGTGAAGTACTATATTAATGTGCAGCGTAGAATTCTGTTGATGTTATTGACTTTTATCAGATGTGCTCTTTTTTAAACAAACAAAAATACAAAAAAAACCCCTCAAAATCACAACAGATTTATTTAAAAATTTGTTAAAATATAGTTATGGAAACAGATTAACAAAATGTGCTTTTAAAAAATTAAGCATACCCTCACTTTATATTAAATATAATATGTTAAGTATAACGGGCGAAATGTCAGAATAATAATAAATAAATCCCATCTTAATTTATAACATTTTTTTATATCCCCGAATTCAAGTAATTAATACATATTGTGATATATCTTCTTAAAAATGTCAACTCATTCTTGTGTTAGACTATAATAACAGTCATGTTTGAAACTAAAATAGAACATTTTAACAGAAGTTAAACAATGGCCCATCTGTTTTTGTTGTGCGCTACATTTTATATAGTATATAATTTGTATTCAGGATACAATGACGTTTATTTTCTTTTCGTGTATGGTGAAACCTAACGGTAATATTTTACCGTTAGTAAATGACACGTCCATTCGTATAATATTTACGTACACACGTGTCTAACAAAAAAAATTCCTTATCCTCACATAAACATTTTATTACTTATCATATGAAATATAAGTACTAGTAGTAAAGCAAAACGTGTAATGCTTTCATAATGAAATAAAACCACATACTGAAAGACCAAAGGTTGATTACCTTCAGTTTTATATGTCTTCACGTTGGTCTTTTTTTCTATTATTCTGTTGATTTCTATTCATCCGTGAATAATGCCCCACTTTCACCGTTATCAATTAAGAATGGGCGAATTGGTTATCAAATAACATTATATTCACACATGTAAAATACACTGTAAGATTTGAGAAAGCATTCATAACTTTTGGGTTCATAAGACATGATAGTTTGCAGTGTTAGGTACGTTGTTTTATGTAATAAAAGTGTACCAGGTAATTTAGGATGCGTAACAAGTCATTTTCTCGTGCACTACACCAGTCTCTGTAGTGAAAGAACTTGAATTTGAGGCCCCTTATTCAATAGTTTAATTGAGTATGTATTTCTTTCTAGTGCACCTAGTATCATCTATTCCTATGTATTTGGAAAGTTCACCTCATTATTTGGAAAACTTTTCAAACATTGAAATCAAACATTTAAAGAAGAAAGGTTCACTAATTTGATCGTAAAAAAATGCACCGTGCAATTTTCAATATTGATTTGTAAATAAAAGAAGTGTTTAGAATAGAAGTATTCTATTTAGTCTATTTTTAAGTTGGTTCCATTGTAATTTATATTTAACTTAATTGATATAATAATCGTTTTGGATATATGTATACACTAACTATAATCCATATTTTCATTTACAATATTTACTGAAGCATTAAGCCGTTGAAGAATCGAATATTTGTATCGTTTCTTTCTCTATTCTTAATAGAAAAGTTCATCTGCGAAAGGATAGTGCAATGGTTAATATAACATAATATGTAATACCGCGTTAAGACAAGGGAATAAAAAATGTAACTATTATTGTACATATGAAGATTATAAACAGTTAATTGTAAAAAATAACAAAAAAATATACGTGTTTATATTACCATCTACTTTATAATTAATTTGTAAATCTGTCATAAATGGTTATAAGAAAAAATGTTTTCTAGTTTTGCATAGTATAGTGATATTTGGATAAGCTGGTAAAAGGACTAACTGATACTGTGCTTTTTTTTCTAGTGGGTATAATTGAATTCGAATATATTATGTAGGCCTCTAAAACTCACATTTACGATTCCGTTGCCAGTGCAGCAACAAAATACATCGCTGTTCTGTTAAGACAACCGCAGATGTCTGTTCTTGGAATAGAGAAGTTAAATAACTGTACATTGTTGAATATATTACATTTTAATTTTAAAATGTTTGTCAATCTAGTCATTATGTATCATTCCTTATATGGACCCTATTCAAAAATTGCCCTATGATAGATGTAACACACTAACCCCTGCAAGGTTCGTCAAATTTTGTTTGAAAGTCTACCTTGGTATTGATAAAAATATTTTATGAAACAGTCACAATGCTACCAAAATCAAGGAAAATGTTAGATATTCTATTTACAGACAAACATACAAGTCAGAATAAAAGTCAAATATATGATCTGAGACAACATTGTCGGTCGGGTTTGTCAAATTCTTTAAGAACAAGATACTCTCTCCATCCTGACCACATGCAACTGTAAACGTAGGTATATATGATTTCTATATTACTTCTTCCTATGCAAACAAGGATATATATATATAAATTATGTATATTTAAGTTCAGATCTACTGGATGGAAAAGAACTCAATTTTATCTATAATACCAAATTGAGAATACAGATAAAGAATGATTATACAATATGGCGTGTTTGACAGTCATACGTCTCAAAGAAGCGACATTATAATAACACATTCGATACCAAAATTTGACCATGATCAGTCACATGGTGATATTGATCGCACTATTTATATAAAAACACGTCAAATCGAAGTTTCTATTTACCGTTTCTACCCATAAATAAAGCCACTTAATCCACTTTTACTCGTGGGGCTACTTCCATATCAAGGAAATGCCGTAGAATATTTTAGAAATTCTTTTGACGCCAACAGCAGTTGTTTATATTAGTAAATCTTATGGAAGTTCTGGTGGCGGCGTTATTGTAGACGAAGATGTCTAGATTTTTTTATAGGGATTAGGCGACTTTCTGCTGTGTATTGCCTGTAACAGTTTGTAACGCAATGATCGGATAAGTTATCTTTTTGTTTTCTAATACAAAATACAATTATTTATGATTAATCAATTGAAATACAAAAGTATAACAAACATTTAGCTTTGTGAATTTTCAAGTAAGAAGCACCTCGGTATCCCGAGCGGTATCTTTCCGTTCTACTCCACTAACCCCGGTGTCCATTCACGGGGGAGACAAATTATCCACCCTTGATCATTGTGAAAATTATTTTTAGTATTTCTCTCCCTTTCCCATTTTCACCCTTTTGCATGGCGATTTTTGTTTACTTTTTGTTGAAGAATCGAAGAAAAGGGTTTGAAAATACATTTTCTGCCAGGTTTTGGTGAATATTCTTGATTTTAAGGCGGAAGGATGAAATTTGGGGCGACTAATTGCATGTTTATTGTTTTTTACTTCCAGTTTGTGTATCTCAAGTTTTCCATGGTGAACCTCAAATTGCTTTTGAGCAAGAAGTTGCCACATGTTGCTCCAGCTGGAAAGCGTTCTACCCAGCGAAAATTTGGGGAAAAGTTAAAGCCGTCTAAAAGACGAGGTTTAACACTAAAGTCAATGGTGAAATCATTAGTGATCAGTGGCCAAATACTTTACAACGGAACGATACCACTAATACCACTGAGGATACCGAGGATAAGTAAGAAGTGTCATCGGATGTAGACTGGTTACAACACAAACGAAAGCAATTCAGTACTCGCTCAAAAATCGATGTTCGGTTCAGTTTGGAGAACGAAATCGATGTGTATATTTATAAGCGCTCTGGGTACGTGACTGAGAGAGAGAGAGAGAGAGAGAGAGAGATGGGGATTAACGCCCACTCGACACAAACAAGGTCATTTCGGGACTAACATATGGTTCAATTTTATTTCAATAATTCGCTTGCGCTTAGGGGTCTTCAGCAGTGGAAGGAAACCTGATGAACCGGAGAAAACCCAGGAGCTTGGAGTGACTGATAGAAGTTTGGGGATATTTGTTATGATAAAAAATTGATTCACAGGCGTAGGGGCTCGATGACAGTTAGGGGGGCAGAACCCGATATGCCCGAAAAAATTTCGGGTTTACAGACAGCAGCGACCTTGTATACCCCCCCCCCCCCCAAAGACAATTTTGGAATATTTGACGGCAGCAAACACGTTTTCCTGCTATTGCAGCCGTTGAACAAAGCAACTTCAAAGTGGTCTAATATAGCCTAATTAAGGTGGCTGACTCGGAATTCCAATCAATCGTTTACAGTCCTCGAAGACGGGACCGTTAGGAGTAAATTTTGAAAATTTAACTGTCGCAAACGCGTTTTCCTGCTATTTCAGCCGGTGAACAAAGCAACTTCAAAGTGGTCGAATATATATTATAGCCTTATTAAGGTGGCTGACTCGAATTCCAATCAATCGTTTACAGTCAACGAAGACGGGGCCGTTGGGAGAAAATTTTGAAAATGTAACTGCCGCAAACGCGTTTTCCTGTTATTCCAGTCTGTGAATACAGCAACTTCAATTTGGTCCAATATAGCCTACCTGGCTGACCCGAATTCCAAACAACCAATCAATCGTCGCGCGGTATATGGAGGCCTCACCCTCCCGGAGAACAATTTGAAAATTTAATCACCGTAAATGCGTTTTCTGCTATTCTAGCCCGTGTAAGCAACTCCAAAAGTATCCAATGGTTTTGTAACTGAAATCCCACTCTGAATTCTAACCATCCAATCAGACTGTTGCATCTGCATTCACAAATAATAATCGATGCCTGAAAAATGTCGCACAAAGTAGAGTGGCTCCAGACAAAATGTTTTAATCCATAGTCAATTCAGTACAAATTCGTGATATTCAATTACAAGAAAAGTAAAGTTAGTGTTTTATTAGGGCTCGATGACAGTTAGGGAAGCAAAACTAGAAATGCCCGAAAAATTTCGGATTTATAGACAGCGGCGCCGGTTTTCTTTGAGAGGCGAATGACCCGCCAAGAACATTTTGGAATATTTGACGGTCGCAAACGCGTTTTACTGCTAGTTTCCTCTGCTGCTTTCCGGCCCGATGCCAGTTTTTCCGGCAATACCTATTTTCGGGCAATACCGTTTTTTCGGGCATACCTATCATAAGAGAGCTTCGGGCATATTTTCGGGCATATGCAGTGGACAAGAAAAAGTGTGGATCTCATAGAAATAAGTTAGTTATATTTTTTCTCTAAACGTTAATAGCAAAAAAAGGTCGTCGAATTTTTCATTGCCCGAAAATAAATTTTTGGGGGGGCATATGCCCCCCTGCCCCCCCCCCCCGGCTCCTACGCCTATGAATTGATTTAAATGCTTCATTTGGTATCAAAGTTTGGTGGAATATACCTGCGTTTCCAATATAAAATGGATTGCCTCGTACAAGACGAGTGAAACAGAAAAACATCGTAAGTGGAGGAATAGCCCACGGGCCCTATCTATTATTGGCAAACGATCATCGTTAGTGGAGGAATAGCCAACGGTCCCTACCTATTGGCAGGGCCCGTGAGAAGGGCGGGGGGGGGGCAGCTGGGACACTTGTCCAGGGGCCCGGAGCCTAGAGGGGCCCGGAGGTATGCCAAGCAATGTTGTTTTTTTTAAAAATTTGTATAAATTAATAAGAAAAATGCACTGTTACTTAAACATACATTATGCAAGAGCTAAATCTGTCTATTGCAGGTCTTTCTTTAGGCCTGAAATGTTATCTAATTTATTAATTAGACATTAATTAACCCATCCAGACCATGATCAACTCTAGATGGCATCGCTAGCCTGCGATCTTTAGTGGGTTACGAGCCGATTTACTGCATAAGTTTCCTTCACGATTTAACGATTAAATGGATAATCGAGACTATGCTGTTTATCGTACTGACTTTAGTAATGATGATCAAGGCTAGCCGGAAATTTCAACCGCTCAGTCCTCGGGTCGTAGTGGATCAATTTGAATGAAATTTTCAAAAAATTGCCTTTACATTATCTAGTTGTTAACTTTTATAGTGAGAACTGCCAACTCGTTATCGAATCTCCATAATGTATCTTTAATCGTAAAGAAAATCGGTGATTTTTCTGAATATGGGTACCCAGTGGCGTTGGTAGGGTTAGAATCGGATTATGTAAGTTCACTTCGCGCAATGGGGCCACGGGACGTCCTCGTTACTTTTGACGTTCTCGTCACCGTCAGGGTAACCGGGCCCCAGCAGGTAATCGGAGCCTAGTCCAGGCCTGCAGAACGCTACAATGATGGGTTAGGGTTAGCTACTATGATGGTGCGTGCGCCTGTGATCTAGCGAAACTGAAAGCGAAATTTTTGCCTATCTCAGTTTCTGTGTTTTAACCAAGTGACCTCCAGTGACTCCAGATAACTTGAGACCACATATCGTTCAAAAATTTTCGAGCCCGGATAACACGCCGCCCCTCAACAAGTCGCTTATCCCAGGACCCGGGCAGCCTTGTCGAGGGCCTTGCTTATTGGCAAATGATTATCGTGAGTGGAACAATAGCCCACGGCCCCTATCGATTGGCAAACGATCATCGTTAGTGGAGGAATAACCCACAGCCCCTACCTGTTGACAAACGATCGTCGTTAGTGAAGGAATAGAAAACGGAGAACAACAGGTAGGTGGTGGTAGTGATGCTGTTGCAGAATACCGACGCTTTAGCTTTGGTACTCTTCTTAAGGAAAATATGACTTCAAAATAACTTTTTTTCTGTTTTCTTTCTGGTTTTTTTTCTATCGATTACAACTTCACATACATGTATTTAAAATGATTAATTAACACTATGCAAATTAACGTTCACACAAAAGTTGAAATAAAAAACTATTACTAGTACACCAAATTCTGTATGATAATCAAGACAATCTGACAGACTATTCAACAAGAGGAGTCGATTAAACTATGACAAAATATACTCGCCATTCACAAATTGTTCAAATTGGCCCTTTAAACAATTCTATTAATCTGATTAAACTAAATTTAAATGCGAAAGTGTTCGACATGCATGTTCATGTACAAACTTGTGCACAACCAATCTCTGGACTTGTTATGTAGCCTTTGCAACCAAAGGGAAAGAACTACAAGCAAATGTGACACCCTTTGGCTAACACCCGCTAAGAATGACCATAATATTAATAGCACAAATCACAATCATCTGATATATAAAAGGAAATGTGTTGCCAATGTCGATATTCTGTTACGCTCGGTCAAAACGTATCGATAGGCCCCGATTCATTCATGTCTGTTTACTTCTTGATCCCTTCGTCTCAAAATGGCAAAGCTAAATCTAGCAAAAAAAAAAAAATGTAAATTAAAACACCCTTCTTCAATTGTCGACCAAAGAAATGGCCAAACGGGGGAGACAAGGGTTAGCGAGAGAAATGTAGTCCGAGTTATAAATAGACAATTTTTTCCTTAATTTTTTTCTCCCCACTTCCTGCAATTTTTGGTTGACTTTTTGGTCTAGAATTGGAGAAAAGGGATCAAATTTGCAATTTCATAGCAGTTTTGGGTAATACTGATGATATTAGAGCGGAGGCATAGGGGGTGTAAAGTGTCTTTCTGCAGAGCAATCATTGTGTCGGAAGTAAGATTTTCACCCCAGTCAACTTCAAATCCCCGTAGCAAAAAATCTAAACGGTCAACCCCCTACAAAATTATGATGAGGAGATTGCCAAATGTAGTCCCCATAGTGCCTATAAAGATGGGAACCAACGGAATGTTGAGCAAAAAGCTACAACCTGTGATGTTACATCCTTTTAACATTGAAGTCAATGGGCAAATAATTGCTTGTTCGAGTCCATAGACGGAGATACCGATTACCTCCCTTCAATGTTGATTTTAAGACTGCGTCGTTTACTGGTCTAATACAAAAATATATTTTATGTAAACATATATACATTACTCTTTAGATAACTATTATTTGATTTGATGCATACTTTACATACGGAACGTTTGATCAATTCAATGAACGAGATCAGTTTAAAGAGGTATAAACATGACAAAGCCTCTAGATATATTACTGCTATGATTTAGTGACGACGCACCAAACCGACCGGAATTAGAAATACAGATTCAGATGAATGAGACCCTTTATGATTCTATAAATTATCGAAAAGTAAACAGCACCTCCCTGAGGAGACTGGTCATTAGCCGACAATTGGAAGGGACAACCTTAAAGGAATTAAAACCAAGATTGCTTATTATTTACAGGTAACTTCCTCCATTCCAACTAAATTAGTAAAGAATACAAGTGCCTGTTAGTGTCTGATTTAGATTGCAAATAGTGCGAGTGGTATTCTACATGTATTATACGTTTTACTTAGGAATATCATAAACCCGTGTAGCGTCCTATACTTATCTAACAAAATAAAGATGGATGGATTCACTATTGAAATATTGCTTGAGCTTTATCTATATTAAAAACGAAAGAAATATTCTGTGATCTATCTGATTTGTCGCCTCACAGAAAGTCATATTTGTGTTCTCGAACCCCAGCACCCCATACATAAAATAACATATTTAAACAAAATACCACATAAAATTACATATTTAAACCATACACCACATAAATTAACATATATGTTAAAGACAATCATATCAAATCACCTATTCAAACAAAGACATGATAAAACTACTTAAAATCACAAAAAAATAACCTATTGCAATCAAAACAATCACATAAAATAACCTAATTAAACAAACATAATAACATAAAAACATATTTAATTAAAATGGTCATCTAAAGGGAAGATAGACAGAAACAAACATTTAGCCAGTTAACCATATCATAATATTACCCGAGTGTGCACTCAATTTTAGGTGAGAGAGGGGGGGGGGGCATAGAAACTCTATACTATTGTTACAGATAGAAACAAACATTTAACCAGTTTTAGAGAATGTTAACCATAGCATAATATTACCCGAGTATGCACTCAAATTTAAGAGTGAGAGAGAGAGAGAGTGTGTTAACTCCGCCCATACACGCTAGGTCATTTCGGGAATGGTATGTGTTAATATGTGCACGTATAGGGGGTCCATAGAAACCCTATACTATTGTTACTGATATATTTTTGTTCTGAAAAAACACAACATGTATATAGATTAGAACACAAATCACTTGTATCTCATCAGTGGATTGGCAGATTGGTCAGACACTTAGAAGATAATTCCATACTAAATCTAATTTGACTTGGTTACATAATGCGCTGTGTTGTGAAATTAATCTCGAACATATAGATAGAGGAAATAGAAAATGATTATGGACTTGTTACTTTTAAATATACCCGCTAACAACAACACAGTCTAGTATCCACACTAAAAACAAATTGAGAATGTAAACTGGAGCCTTAACTAATCACAACAGACATAACATCACTATTTACAGTACTCTTCTTAATATGCACTGACGGAGACGACCTAACTGGGCGGGATTTCTTCGCCAAAGCGTAACGTATTCTGTCCCAGAACAATTTGTCGTCTGCTTTAATAAATGTCATCGTCTGGAGACATCGACGGAAATCTGCTTCGACGTCTGTTAAAGTAACGTCTTCCAAGAGAATAATTACCATATGCTTTCGCTTCTCTAGCAGACTCTGGTGAAGCGCGGTACGGAATTCCAAAACACACCACTCACTTTGTAGAAAATGTCTAGAGACGACCAAAATAGTATGACGACTATTTTCCACACTTGATATAATGTTATCGGAAATATACGAACCGACTTCAAAATCTCGATGATGTAGGCAAAGCTTGAAATTGAAATCCGATTCTTCAACTTCCAGACCCGGTGCCAAAGTTTTCAGAACCCATTCAGTATCCGCACTACTGTAGCTAATAAAGGCGTCGAACTTTTTGTGCGCGTTGTCTTCCTTTGGTTGACATGGAAGAATGATATTTAAGCGTGTAAAGAATATTATACGAATATCTTTACGATATCTTGTTATCAATACAATAATAATCAGTAGTATTATTACAACTGTTGATAGAGTTGCAATCTGTGCAACGTAAATTGAAACATCCGCATCACAAAGAATACTTTTGTTAAGTTCTGATATTTTTCGCCCTGCAAGTCTTGGAGGCTGAACGCACTTTATATCCCACAGATATTCATAGTCCGCCCGAAGTCCCGCGGCTACAGGACCGTCATTTTGCAGTAGAAATTGGTTAAAGTAAGTAATTTCGTTACACTCACACTTAAATGGATTATTTCTGATATCAATTAAGGCGGATTTTAATAGTGATAAAGACTTGATTTCCGTTTCACTTAAAGACTGTATATTATTATACTGAAGGTTTATATAACCAGTAGGTGTCGTACCGTACCCCACGTCCTTAAAATGGAATCTAGATAGATCGTTATGAGACAAATCAAGTTTTTCTAGCTTTGGGAACTCTTTGCGCCAATCAACAAGTTCGTTGGGAATATCTGTGTGACCAGTATTAGTATAGTTTATTACTTTCAGATTGGGGAAATATAAATTGTCAGTCAGCATTGGTAATTCAAACTTGGACAATTCATTTGTATCCGAGAGCTCATAAATTTCTGCTGCTTTGTATCTGCAAGTGTTGGACGGGTCGTGGGTAGATCTGTAGGCTGATAATTGTATATCACTTACAGATGCTACACTAACATTGCGTGCTATGTAAGTTCTCAAATTTAAAGGCCCACACTTGTATTCTGCTGAAATCTCACTGAAGTTTACGGAGATTTGCATTGATTCTTTAAAATCTATTTCTATATTTGTATCTACTATTTCAACATGCTTAAGCTTGTCCGGTATCCTTTTAATAATTTCAGTGTCAAACACCTCTATGAAAAATTCCCGAACCAGACAGCCTAAGACAAATAATCGTACAAGATTAAATGAACGAAAGGGCCACGGCAGTTTAATAACGCCACCTTCTGAGCAAGTTATGGATAAAGAAATAGTGGAAGAATTTGGCTTTAACTTAGACCATTCTCTAAATTTTGTAAATTCAAACACACTATTTTTATCGACACTACAAATAACCGTATAATTCTGTTTCTTTGAGTTTATATCGCACATCTTTTGTATCTGTGAAGTATAATTGCCATCACTGAAAATTTGATCACTTAAATTGTTTCTGTCATTGTTGCCAGATATATTGTGGCCCAAGGACTCTTTTATTGGCGGTGTCTTACAAACTATACACCCGCAAATAAAAGTGAATCCAAATACGACAGAAATTATCTTCAGGACCATCGTACTTCTGGTAAACAAGAGATCGGGTTATTTATATCGCACACTTTGTTTTCTATCTCTGAAATGTATTTAGTACCACTCAAAGAATGATTACTTAAAATGCTATTATCAATATTCCCCGATAGGATTTCTTCAATGCGTCTATTTGCAGCTAGGTTGCCTGGGTTATCGTTTGTTGGTAGTAGTGTCCCGGCAACTATGTATCCACAAATTAGAACCAGTCCAAACACGACAGAAGCTGCCTTTAGGAACATCTTGTTTCCAGTAAAATATCTGTAATCGAAAGGGTTAGTATTATTTGCCTTTACTTATCTAAAATAGATTCAAACATAATATCTTATCAGTAACTAATGCTCTAGAACTACATAATATTTGCTTATAAGCATTGCAAATTGGAAGTTGAGATGATTTTAGCCAACCAATAATAGTATCATAAGAAAGGGGGTTCCCCATGACAAGTTTTCCTGTTCGCGACGAAAAAATGATTACAATCACTTTACAATGGTCACGTGCTCAGTGCAAGGGTGGGGCAGGGTGGGAGAGCGGCCTTTACATCTACTATGTTCTAATAGTCGAGGTCCATTTACGTGCATGCCAATGAGTACACAGGTTTTCATCCAATATGAAAAAATGGAATGGCGTTAACATGGAAAAATGTCGCCGTTCGGTGTCGATCCAGGGTTGGATTCGAACCCGAGACATTATAGTTCATATAAGTAAGACTACAGCGGTCATAGACATACATGATCCCGTGGGATTAGAAGGACTGTATAGATTTTGCCCAAATTTTATATAGAATATTAACCGAAAATGGTATACCCGGGAGTATATAACATGGGTGTTAGTAGTCACTCACGTGCCCATCAATATCTAAACGGTTTGCATAAATAGTCCCGTTTTCTGGTTCAGTAGTTTATAATGTATTCTGCTACCCCCCCCCCCTCCCCCATCATATAGCCATTCCCCCTAGCTTTGCTTCAGGCATTTCTCCCCAGGCCTTACATATGAATGAAAAAGGTTGAAGCTCAGTCAGAAAATTTCCGATTATTGCTCGAACGCACACTTACACCATTTATCAAGTAATTATAGACATAAATTTTAACAAAGGTTAGACGGTATTTTCTAGAGCGTTCACACAGTAGGGCAGTCTGAAAATCACTACCCAAAATTACATATATTTAAAGGGGCATTAGGTAGGATTAGATAAAGAGCTAACAGTTCTCGCTTTATATATAATAGTTGCAATGTAAATATGCTGAAAATTTCATTCAAATTGCTTCACTGTGAACCTAGATATTAGCGATTCAATTACTACCGTTGTTACGATAATAAATAAAGTCTCGATTATCCAATACGCGGTTATTTCATCCACAACAAAATTTAGATAAGATTTAAGACCTAAATAAAGGCCTGCAATAGGCAGATTTAGCTCTCGTGTAATGCATCTTTAATCATCTTACTGATATAAACGATGTAGAAATATTAAAATGATCAGATCGATCTTAGATACGAAACTATCAGATACTCATGAGAAAATAAACACAATGAACCATACAAAAAGTAAATGTATTATTATAAAATATACAATACAGGAACAAAGCACAGATGGATAAGCATGCATACATTTACATCCTAAATGGCAGGACAGAACAAGAAGTATTCCTAACAGACACACACGCAGATACAACCAATTACAGTTGGTTATATAATTATACCACATGGACAATCAGTTATTTCCTCGTTCAAGCAAGATCATTAAGGTATGGATTGCAATTTTGTTAATAGATATGTCATCGGCTGACCAAAATAAACCACGACAACATAACATAACTATTAAAACTACCCGACAATTATATCGCAATAACAATTAGAATAACCATTGAAATATAAACATTTAAAGAGCACATCGCAATATGATAGCTTTCAATATTGTCTGGTATTAAAGTCATTTTATATCTCTAATTGAATAAAATAAATTCGTGACTAAGGCAAAAGTGGTCATGCAATTTGACTTAATGCAGAAGCACATTATGTTTACTTTTATTTTGGAATTAAAACCAGAAAAAATGATAATACAATTAAAGCTGATACAACTATGTGACAGTTTATTGACTCTCTTCTTTTAAACAGATAGGAGTAGTCTTCAAAGGTCGGGATTTCTTCGCCAAAGCGTAACGTATCCTGTCCCAGAACAAAATGTCGTCTGTTTTGATATATGTCATCGTCTGAAGACATCGACGGAAATCTGCTTCGATATCTGTTAAAGTAACATCTTCAAGGAGAATAATTACCATGTGCTGTGACTTCTCTAACAAACTTTGGCGAAGAGCCGTACGAAATTCCATAACACACCACTCACTTTCTAGAAAGTGTTTGGAGATTACCAAAACAGTATGGCGACTGTTTTCCACACTAGATATAATATTATCGCAAATATACGAACCGACTTCGAAATCTCGATGATGTAGGCAAAGCTTGAAATTGAAACCTGATTCTTCAACTTCCAGACCCGGTGCCAGAGTTTTCAGAACCCATTCAGTATCCGCACTACTGTAGCTAATAAAGGCGTCGAACTTTTTGTGTGCGTTGTCTTCTTTTGGTTGACATGGAAGAATGATATTTAAGCGTGTAAAGAATATTATACGAATATCTTTACGATATCTTGTTATCAATACAATAATAATCAGTAGTATTATTACAACTGTTGATAGAGTTGCAATCTGTGCAACGTAAATTGAAACATCCGCATCACAAAGAATACTTTTGTTAAGTTCTGATATTTTTCGCCCTGCAAGTCTTGGAGGCTGAACGCACTTTATATCCCACAGATATTCATAGTCCGCCCGAAGTCCCGCGGCTACAGGACCGTCATTTTGCAGTAGAAATTGGTTAAAGTAAGTAATTTCGTTACACTCACACTTAAATGGATTATTTCTGATATCAATTAAGGCGGATTCTAATAGTGATAAAGACTCGATTTCCGTTTCACTTAAAGACTGTATATTATTATACTGAAGGTTTATATAACCAGTAGGTGTCGTACCGTACCCCACGTCCTTAAAATGGAATCTAGATAGATCGTTATGAGACAAATCAAGTTTTTCTAGCTTTGGGAACTCTTTGCGCCAATCAACAAGTTCGTTGGGAATATCCTTGTAGCCAGTATTGGTATAGTTTAATAATTTCAGATTAGGGAAATACGAATTGCCAACCAGCATTGATAATTCAAACGGGGAAATTCCATTAGTATTTGATTGTTCATAAGTCTCCGTTGCTTTGTAATTGCATGTGTGTGTCGGGTCGTTATTAGCTCTTACGGCCTGTTGTCGTGCCGTTTCTAGACTGTCATCATAATGATAAGAATAGTCTGGTAATGGCATCTCACCAACAATTGACATAGTAACATTGCGCCATATGTATGTTCGAACATTTATAGGTCCGCATTCGTATTCTGGAGAAATGTCACTGAAGTTTAAGGATATTTGCATTGTATCTACAAAATCTATTTCGATATTTGTATCTACTATTTCAACATGGCTAAGCTTGACTGGTATCGATTTAATAGTCTCAAAGTCAAACATTTCTGAAAAAAATTCTTGAACCCGACAACCTGATACAGATAAGTATTCTAGATTAAGTGAAAGGAAGGGCCATGGCAGTTTAATAACACCGCCGGCTACGCAAGTGACGGATAAAGAAATAGTCGAAGAATTTGGCATTAACTTTGACCAGTCTCTAAAGGTTGTAAACTCAAACACGCCATTATTATCGACATTGCAAATAACACTATAATTCTGATTCTTTGAGACTATATCGCACAAATTGTCACCTAAAATGCTAATATCAATGTTCTCGGATGTATTGCTGACCTGGATATTTTCATTGTTTACATCTGCGACTGGGTTGTCTGCGGTATCGTTTAATGGTAGTGGCGTCCCAACAACTATGTATCCGCAAACAAGAACTAATCCAAACACGAAAGAAGCTGTCTTTAGGACCATTCTGTTTCTAGTAAAATGTGTATACTGTGAGGTGTCGGAAGCGAATGCGCTGGCATTATTTCCCTTTATGGCACTGGCGTTTTTACAGATCTAAAATAGATTCAAACATAATATCTTATAAGTTAAAGTTTTGTTATACTGTAGAATTGCTTGTTTATGTGGATGGTAAATAGAAGAATTTGACACCTTTGTCTTCTAGAGTTGTTCAATTATTCGGCAACCCCTTTGATATGTTGTAGTAGTTGCCTTAAATAATTTGAAAGAAGAGAAGAGGTTAGCTTGTCCTAATCTCATTTAAGATTCATATACGTTACAATTCTGATGAGCGAGAAATGGGGTTTAACGTCCACTCGACACAAGCTAGGTCATCTCGGGACTAACATATGGTTCAATTTTATTTCAATAATGTTCTTGCGCGTAGGGGTCTTTAACAGTGTGAGGAAACCGGAGAACCCGGAGAAAACCCACGAGGTTGGACAGGCGACCCTACTCATTGTCACGTGCATCAGGGGAATCGAAACCACGCCAGTTGACTCAATGACAGGCCTTATGATACAGTAATCAATATAGAATAAACTCACAGCGCTCGTCGATAAATGTGGCACACATTTAATTATTAACCCTAAATTCTAATCGGAATGCCCCAGAAACAATATGGAGACACAGGTCCTGGGGTAATTGCCCAAGGGCCATTTATGAATATTTTCACACAATAACATATGGCACATATTTTTTAACTGATCAATGCTGTGATTATGAGATCGCTTAAAAATACAACGCTAAAGTATAGGTCTAATGCAACATCGACTCTGCATCTAAGTTATTTCTCAAAATAAAATCAACACCAACGGCTTATTCTATAGAGCAATCTGCGTTAATACAGAAATGAATTACAACAACGGGACCGTTACCCAATTCATCAATTAATGACAAAGATGATTGCATTTGAAACGAGAGAAAGAAAAAAAAACATGAGCAAACATATTTATCATAGCTAGACGTGACTGATGAATTAAGAATAATATTTGAATAAAAACAATTTATAAGCATACAAGTACCACATAACTGAATGCGTAAATGCAGTTTCTTTGTTCTCTATTACACGCAAGATCAACATATTCACCATGTTCGGTAACCGGATATTGAAATGACTCCATTAGCATCAATGTAATGAAACTTTCTACCGTTCGGCCCCCGTCCTGTTTGTCAGAATATATCACGGAGATTATTTACACACCATACTATACATTACGAAGTAAAACCTACATCCTGTATGTATATTAGTCACATCCTTCAACTGTGTTGCCTTTAAAATATACTGTCATGTCACACTGATTCACCCACATTTCTCCAAGTACCAATAACCGGCTTTAAACTGCATAATTTATAAATCATTCACTTAAAGGAGCTAAATCGCTATAATTATATAGTATTTGGCACCTAGAAATGGACATAAATGTGTCGCAACGCATATAATAATGTAATATGAATGTATATAAACTGATTTACATTCAGTCGTTTCTGTTTTTTACTGTAATTTCTCATCAGTTAATGTTCGGCGAAGTACCCGAAGAGTGCAAATTTAATGGCAATCTTTAGCGTCTCGTTATTTCAGTCTACACAGGTAGCATTCACCTGTGGGATATGTTTAGCATTCGTGTGCCAATTTTAAAATTGTCATTTTGTCTTAAATAGTTGATATCAGAAGCCCATCTTTTCAGGGTTAGATAACAGCATCATGTTGATTTAAATTGACCAATAAGTCTTGTTTGCAATGTCGAAGACTGTCGATGATATTGAGTTAAAGACTTACCCCCTTTAAGATGTATTTCCGAGTGAACAGAAGTCACGATGCGTCAACGGAAGAAGAATAAATTATCTTAATTGTTAGACAAAGATACACCCCGTTAGTACTTGAATAACTACAGAGTTGAATAAATTATTCGGATCCTCCGAAGATAGACACATAACATTTAAATAAAAATACTTAGTCTGTCGAAACCAAATTTAAATGCTATTATTAGTATAGAGGTAGTCCCATCACTAATCAAAAAGGTTTAGATCCTTTAAATCAATAATCAACCCAACCGCCAATTAAGAGCCCTAAAGTTTAGACCGTCAATTCCAATCAATAAAGTTCCAACCGTCAACTCAGAGTTACAATCAATAAAGTTCCGACCCAATCACTAACGTTCCAACAGTCAATTCGGAGTCCCAATCAGTCAAGTCCCAACAGTCAATTCGGAGTCCCAATCAGTCAAGTCCCAACCGTCAATTCAAAGTTCCAACCGCCAATTCAGTATCGGATATAAGTGTAATTTCATCATTTCGATGAATAAGAAAGATGGGACTTGGACTGTAGAAATACGTACACTACGACTACAGGTTTAGGTCTACAACTTTCTTACAACGTTAAACTCCAATTCATTTCATTTCATTTATTAAGGAATGGTCGATATACCATTTTGTTTGAACATTTTAATATTACAAGGACTGTGTCAAATACAATGCATGGGTTCCTCTCCCTCCTTCGTCTTCTTTAGCGATTTTGTATTCTATTGTGGTGTCACTTCGTACAAATAATTATGTATTCAAAATACAAGCAACTGTCCCGTATGACACAACTAAAAACCTCCATCAAATCAAAACAACCCTTACACTTTCTATAGCAAGCAACAAAGATAAACTATCGGGAAATAAAGTGGGTTGATTTAGTATAAAACCATTACTTAATTATACAAATAACATAAATTGAAAATATAACATCGAAGAAGAAACTTACTTTACTAGGCACACCCTTTCTTATTCATTGAACTTCCTTGCTTGACGTAAGTGATTTTACTTGCAGCAGGTGGAGTTTTAATGTAAACAATATTTGGGATGCGGTTGACCCAAACAACGTCTAAATGTAGGACACCATATCAGCCAATGAAAATTCGCGATGCTTCTGGTGTCATGCTGTCATTGAGAAATACAGAAACCGATATGTGTGTGTGTATATATATATATAAAGAGAGAGAGAGAGAGAGAGAGAGAGAGAGAGAGAGTTTAACGTCCACTCAACCCAAACAATATCATTTCGGAGAAATGAGGTTTAACGTCCACTCAACACAAACAATATCATTTCGGGACTAACATATGGTTCAATTTTTATTTCATTAAATCGCTTGCGTGGCATGAAACCGGAGGACCCGGAGAAAAACCACGAGGTTGGACAGGCGACCCTGCGACCCTAATCCCTGTCATGTACAAGCGGGGAATCGAAACCACGCCACTTGACTCAATGACAGGCCTTATCATGCAACGGGCACGCGTTAACCATTCGGACACCCGAAGCAGGATTATTAAGTAGATACTTTCTCTGTACTTTTCCAGTTCATTATATGTCGTTTGGACTTAGACGAAGAGTCAGTTGTGAAATCTTTTAGATGGCCATATATGTAATTATTTAAAGATACATCGGCAAATGGCCTGTTGGTCAAAATAATAACTTGACGTGAATTTACATGTAACCCACCTAAATAATTCTGCACACAGAAAACTATCTACTTTGAGAATAGATCTCTACCCTGAATGACTGCCATGTCCAAAATTATCATACTATTTTTTAATGCGTTTCTACTCCGTTTCACATCTGCCATTCACACGATTTTATTAAATGGAAGCGATGTAAATACTTCTCAGCAATTCAACGTTTACTTAATGTTTTTGACTAAAATCGTCCATATAGGAATTAAAATGTCGGCCAACTAACTTAATGTCTGATCTCAAGCGGGGCTAATTATAGACAGACAGCGTTAGTTTAGTATGTGTTTAAATCTGAGTATATGTCCATTTATTTTGTGACAGATGACCCGTGTCAGTTTACGTGTCGTACAAATGTGTCTTTCTAAAACGGCTACTGATTAGACTATCGGTAATAAGTATATTTTAGATATTATTCAAATTTAAATGAAATCCATTTTTATTAAATTCAACCGAAATGTACAAGTGACCCCCAACTTCGATTTCCTTGTTGGTTCAAACCTATCTGACATTCCTAATTTGGTTATGAGATATATATTTAACTGCGGTACTATTATCTTGTCAGTATTTGATGATTTTGTATTTGTATTTATTATTGAATATTTATATATGTAATGTTAATTTCAGTCCAGTACGTTTAAGGGGGGTTGGGTGGCCGAATGGTTAACGCGTGCGCGTTTGATCATAAGGTCTGTCATTGAGCCAAGTAGCGTTGTTTCGATTCCCCGCTTGTACGTGACAAAGAGTAGGATCGCATGTCCAACGTTGTGGGTTTTCTGGGTTTCCTCCCACTGCTAAAGACCCATTGATACCCGCTGACGAATTATTAAAACAAAATTATTGAAAGGAGTAGGAACATGATAGACAAAATAAACAAAGTTTGCCCGATTTACTTAGAAAAAAATGTCATTTTTCACACTGGCTATGAAAGAAAAAAGGGGCTGGCCATTGAGAATGATACTAAAAAAAAACCTTGGACCGTGTATGCCATTGATAGTACGTTGTAGATGCCTCTCCATAGATCTGGGCAAAATATCCCTAGTAGCACATTACATGACGTATACCTGTCCTCGTTAACCCAGTTCGTGCAAAATAATAGGACGGTAAATCATATTTCATTTCAGAGTCTGGTATCTTGCAGCCATTATTAAAACACTTATCTGTTGAAAGTGGAAAAACGACAACTTAATCTAAAAATATTATGTAACCGTATTTTATATAAAAAAAAAAAAGATTGTAGCCAATATGTAATAATTATCATACAGTTTTAACCTAAGCCTTGAGCAGATGACGTAGACGAGCATGCTTTAGTACTGTTTGGAGGTATCTTGAACATACATTAATCCAACACATTAGAAGATGCATCACAATCCTATAAATATTATAAGGTTATAATTCTACCAAGATAAATATCTATATGCCTGTCAACTTCTCTCTGATGAATCTCAAAGACCCGAATCCAATATCTTTCCTAATGACACATTCCAACAAAAGCTGAGCTTATTTTGTCTATACTGAAATTAAAATTTTTCTTGAGGATATTTTTGTTCCCCTTGTACACGCACCCCCGTGTCCGTGATACATCATTTAAGGAAAACTGTGTGATTAGCTTCATGCGACCAATTCGTGATATACCGTCATGTCATTTGTTTTGTCTCTCTTATTCAACATTGTCTCCTTAAATCCGCGTTGTACGAGACAAATATTGTTAAGTGCGGATATGAAAGCTACACCGCATAAATTATCTTACATATTTATAAAATGAACGGAGATAAAATCACATTATATAGCTTAACACCCCTTTCTTTTTTATTTCAAATATTGTTGTTTGGTTGGCTGAACGAATACATCCGGGTGTCACTTTGTTTTCCCATTGTTGATTCAGTAGCCTCCAAGGCAGATGTTTTCTATTTGACATGCCCGGATCATGTAGGACCAGTGTTTTATATAAAGTAGATGAATTTGTTTCGTTCACTTAGATCAGCATTAGATACCGAAGGTTTATTGTAATATAACTAATATTACGCCATGCTTTCACAACTTATCGTCCTATGCGTTGCTATGAACGCCATCCACGCACGATCAGTTATCACAGAAGCAAGGTTACCCGAATACTGCCTGTCGGATAATCAAATCACAGCCAGGGATACCAACATTAACTGTCTTGTTCCAAGTGACGCCATCCTTAATTATGACGTCTTAAAACTATGGAGTGATCGTTTAAACCAAGATTTCAGCTTTACCATTGAATGTGAAAATGGTGGCACGGTGGAACTTCCATGGCCAATGAAAGCCCAAAGAATCGTAAATTTAAAGGTGAATGGATGCAGAATGGTGGGTTTCTTCAAAAATATGAAGTTACCATCCAATATACCCGACACTATGAAAGATCTGATTATTACGAATTCTACCATTGTTTACACCATGGGAGATTTAATTGAAGTGTTGAAGCGTTACAGTGATGCCAGTTTATCGGAGGAAAACGAATGTGGACAGCAGACGATGACGAAATTCATTTTCAGGGATATTAAATTCGATGCCCAGATGGATATAGTCGATCCAAATATATTGATGGCAATGGAAGGTCATGTGGAAAACATGATCAATTCTTCCTCATCTCAGATATGCGATTACAGACATTTGGCATATTTTGATGAGAGCGGATCCACACCAACGTCCAGTTACCATTTCAAATTACTGACAATGAACACTCAATATCCATCTCTAAGAACGTATCGAACGGCTGAAGTTGATTTATGGAGAATACCGGACCAACTTCAGAATTATCGACAGTATTTTCCTTGTTTAAAACGCCTTGATATGTCTAACAACAACATCGAAACTGTCAATTTTACCATGGTCAGCACAACGCCATGTTTGTTATCGCCTACCCAGCAACCAAGTTACATAAACTTACGCTTCAACAAGATCACAACAGTTTCTGCCGCCATGTTGGACACCATGATGGATAATGACATCATCGTAGATGTTCGTAACAACCCGATAAATTGTACATTACAAGGTGATTCCTTGAAGAATTATGCTGAACACATGGTTACTGTTTATCCGACGTTTTCCTCGCTCTTCAGTGATTTACCGTGTCGTGAACAACAAATATTCTGAGTTAAAAGTGGAAAAAACTTTAATAACTGTAGACTAGTGAACCAATATAAAAAATATAATATTATATATTAAAGAAAAATGCAAATAGCAAGAAAATTAGAATCGTAATCGTAAAACTTCAAAAAGTAAATATAGCCTTTTTGTGTAACGATGTGAAATTGACAACGATTTAATATTACATAAATTTGTATTCTAGTCATAAATTTATTATATTTTATCAATTTGAAAGCCAGTCGATTATCCATAATAACATATAATTTAGCTATGTATAACCTTACAGAATAATCAGTTTTGTAACAATCAATATGATATATTAAAGTTTTTATTATTGTATTGTAGTTACTTTATAATGTCTTATATTTGTAGAACAAGATTTAAAACCTAGTTAATATATTTCGAAGAATTAATATAATGCGAGGGAGAGCGTCTGGGAGTTGGCATACTCGTGCCTAACCAAGCCAGGACATGCCTCCTCAATACAAGTTAGTTCTGGGTGTCTTTAACATTTCGATGTCTGTAACTGATATGTAAGAAGCAGAGAATAAAAGTATTATAAGATGTTAAACTAGTCTTGTCATCCGAACCTGACTTAAAGACCCAATACTGTCACATATTATTTCAGAAGAATCAATATAATAATGGTAATAATATTAATACATTATTTTACAATTAAATTTGTCATCATATATTATTATAATTGCATTGCTGTTACTTTGTATCTTAACGAATTAAACACCAAAAATGGCTTCTATTAAAAATAATGAAATAGGCAATTACAGCCTTATTATTGCATTGTTATTGCTTTAAATTGTCTTTAAATAAAATTACAGCTTGGCCCTGGCTGCAGCTTGCTCTGCTATTTGTTTTCCCCACTGAAAGTCGTTGGGGTAATTAGGGTCAGTAATAGCTTCTCTGTATCTTATAGTGTTCTATTTCGGCAAAATCCGCGTCGCGCGTCGTGCGTAGCTATAGAGAAAAAAAAGCGACGTCGGGTTCAAAACTCTTTTCCCCTATAGCTTAACATTGAAAAAGGCGACGCGTGTCGTGGCCGAAATAGAACACCATAGTATCTTGTAAAACCAGCAATGTCGTACTGTGTTTCACCATCTATTGCCATTTATTGCCAATAAACAAGCAAATCTGTTCACAAAAAGTAAAAATGCTAAATGCTAAATTTTAAATTTATCCCTCTAGGAAGAAGTTAATCGTTAAAACAAATGTTAAAAAACAAAATTCGAAAAAAAGGAAGCTTTTTGGGTTCAGTTGAATCTTTGCATGCCATCTCAAACAAATAATTATAATGCACAGTACGTTGTTTGTTTGTGCTCGAAAGACTCAACAATTTATTTGCCCAATTCGGTTAATTTAATAGCTCTTTATTTTTTTAAAAAAAGGGGAAATAGTTCTCGCTTTTCCACTAATACAGTGGTGTTTTTGAGTTGGTTTAATGGGTTTTATTAAAAGGAATTAGCTTGCTTGAAAGCATGGCCAGCACCGCAGCAAAATATCACATCAGACCAACCCTCCTTATCACATTTGTCTATGACAAAATGTCTATCGGGTGTCATGGTATTTAAACAAGTTTTCGTATACATTATTGGACCTACAAACTATAAAAAGAAATATATATAAACAAGTTAACCTAATTACCGTCAACCCGATTATAGCAATAGTTAACATTGCCAGTGGTGTAGGATGGGGGTTAGAAAAGCTCAGCGTCTAGTTGTTCGGATGGTAAGAAAACCAGATTCCCTGTGAACACGTTGCTGTTTACGTAAGAAAAAGAAAACATAGGTCGTAGGACCGTTGACCTCGCAAAATTTACCTCATAGCCCACTGCATGGCGTGTATGTTGGTCTTCATTTGTCCTGTTAGTGCATTAAAGATGCATTATGTAAGATTTAGATAAATAGCTGACTGTTCTTGCTATAACAGTTCCAAAATAGACAATTCAAAATTAATTAATTCCATTCATTTATATTACTTTATTCTGAGGGTCGTTATCACTGTTTGAAGTTTTGACAATGATTGTTGTTAGCGTAGCAACGATACATTGCCCCGAAAATTGTTATTTCCAATAAAAGTATGGTAAATTTGGTATGTATGAAAATTATAGACACCTAATCTAACTAGAAACAGACTGGATTACCTGAAAACACCCATGGGGCAAGCACTGGGCAAAAATGTCAGGGTATCACTAACAACACTGATCAGAAGCGAATATTCGCTAAGCCGCTACAATCACTGATTGCCCGTAGGGGTCTTTAGCAGTGGGAGGAAACCGGAGGACCCGGAGAAAACCCACGAGGTTGGACAGGCGATCCTACTCCTTATCAACCAGGGATTCGAAACCACGCCAGTTGATTCAATGACAGGCGCTCGTGCTAACCATTCGGCCACCCCCCCCCCCCCACACACACACTGATAAGGATGAAATCTATGCGACTTAATGAACCCCAAATATTAACTTTTTTCTTCCGACAAATTAAATTCTAAAACATTTTTTTTATGTATTAGAAGAATAAATAAAGCCGTTTGGAGTATTTGTAGGTAATATTTATTTCCTATTTAGTTTGAATGGGTATTAAAATGAGTAAAAGGCACCATTCTGCCCAAACCAGTAACAATGCACGCCATTGTGCCAATAATTGATGCCGCGTGATTTGACGTCACGTGTTGAAGGCAGTCATCTTTTGCAGAGATATTAGAAGACTTTCGTAGTTTGAATATGTTTTTAGTCCTATCTGGTTAAAACACAGATCCTATTTCGTTTCGTTTTAATAGTTCAGAATAGTTTAACTCGTGTTCTGAATGGTGTCAGGGATAAACCAATGAAACGGTCTGTTACGGCGAGCTTTAGTCGTGTTTTTCACTGAACTGTGGGTAATCCAATTGTAACATCAATGCTGATTGGTTAATCAAATGTCTGACGTCAAAGGGGTCATAAGTCGGTCTTTTGACCCCTGACGTGACCTATCGTTATAACTTGTCAGATCTTCATGTAGTGTAGGCCATCGAAAGTATAAAAAAACGAAATATAGATCTGTATTTTAATTAGATTGGTTTTTAGTCCAAATATATCATCAAATCAAACATCTTTAATCGAGATTCAGCCTCGCTTCTCTATTTTTAAATTAAATCATTAAATGGCGATCGTATGTAGCACCATGGGCCTTCTGTCTGACGTGGAAAGCGGGGATTGGAAACCGGTCGCCACATCCTACGTACGACCCATGCATCTTTTCTTCCTACATATTTCTGTAGCCTTGTGATCGTCTAGTATTAGTCTCCAGCTGTCTTTACTTCTGCTTCACGTTGTGTATTTACTTCTTACAGTTTTTTTTAAGACGTTTGTCTTACCAGGAATAACAATGGAACAGTTCGCTTTTAAATTTAATATATATATAGCCGAATACATGTATACAAGCATAATAGATAACAATACTAGCTAAAACCATTTCTCCACCCTAGCCAGCCTCGCGGCTGTCTAGGAACTCAGATGGAACCTCTCTGGAAGCTAATGGAAGTCTGCTTGAAAGTTTCAAATAGATATCTTATATAGCACTCACTTGTGTAATGAACAAAATGATTGGTTAAATTAAACCTAATGACGCAATACTACTTTTCTTTGCACATATGCTCACTGTGGTATTTTATAGACACATGTTTTGGCTAAATAACTCTTTTTTATATAAAATTATGTCATTTATACCCTAAGTTGATTTAAGTACACACTATATATGATATATATGTGAATATGTGTGAAACTATTAATTTGCCAAATATATTAATTAATGAAATATAAAGTCATCTTATTTCTCTATTCTTTGTCTATAATAGGCACCTTTAGCTCTTACATAATGTATCTGTAAGGTAAGGTGTTAAACCCCATTTGATTTCACATTGGTAGGTATTCGGAAACTTATCGCCAACCACACAACACACACTTTATTTGTGACGCCTATTTTATAGTTGTCATCAGCCAATATTTACATTTTAATTATTATTTTGCGATAATTATTTTCAAAACATATTCTAGTGTATATAGCAAACACAAATCTGGGAAATTCTTGTAAAATTGACCAAGCTTCCCTGTATATTTACATCATGATCTTTACTTATAGTTCCCCCTTGTCAGTGATGCGGGATGGAGGGTCTGGCAAGGGAAGCCTATAGTCGTTCAGATGGGACGAAAATATAAATCCCCGTGTACACAATGACGTGCACGTAAAAGAATCATTGGCAGTTGGAATTCTATATAAGAGTAGGCCGCAGTGCCGCTGCCCGGGAAAAATTTCCCTCATAGCACACAGCATGGCGCATGTCCGTTTTCATTATACCAGTAGGTGAGGAACAGTAGGGCGTTAAACCAAATTTCAGTTTATTTCTTTACTTATAGGAATGTTTATATAATGATTTCTGGATGTACTGATGTATATCACTGTAATATAATGAACTTCTAGAAAAGACTGATCTAATCTAGTTCTACAAGCGGCAGTTTCTTATTTCCCGTGGTATCTGTTTAAACAGTTGGTTCAAGAATGCAAATCAAACTCCAAAATCAAAGTTCAATACAGTCTAGTAGTTTCAGATTAAATATTGGGGAATTTCCAAAAGGAGCAAAGTAACACAAAAAGTTTTTTTTTAATGTAGATTTATGAAGAAAGCATATCTTTAGGACAGTGTTATTCGTAGGCACAATGTTTACGAATAATGAGTACCTCGATCGTAATCACCGTGTTTACAAATAAAGATTACCTCGTAATTACGACGAGCTAGCCCTAACCTGGCCTTAATCTAAACAAAATGTGGCTACGCATAACCTCTTTCATAACTTAATAACTTAACTATACAAATAGTGCTGTTATATTACCTTTGGGGCAAGCGATTGCATCAAGTCTGCACATATTTTTTCTCTTACTGAGTCCACAACGAAGTTCCTGGTATTACCAGTTACAGGTGGACCGCCAGCGTCCACACCAATCTTACTACAGGAATTACCATGAATTGGAATCTGGTAATAATCGTGTTATTTGGCATGTATATATCCAAGGCCCCCGCCCCCGACTTTCAGACCGCAAGTTATTCTGGGCATAGAATCCCCAAAGACCAAAGAGATTTACCGTTACAGGTTTATAACTGTATATAAAACAAATGTGGAGAGGTTTTAATAATGAAATACTCACACACAAAGTATTAATATACTAAGTAGTAAACATGATGTATTCGATATGCAATGAAAATAGAGCACAATCGATTCTAACCAGCTGTCAATTTCCATATCTAGTTCAATATTCCGTGAACAGAGAATAGACATAGAAACATGCTGAAGAGACAGGTATCTCGACTAAAATACCCCGGGTTCGTATCGCATAGAAGCCTTTTAGGAAATATCGGCATGTTTTTCTTTAATCCTAGATATCTCTTGTCAGGGTTAACGTATTTATAAACTTGGGCTAATTGGCACCATAGTCTCAAATTACCTATCTCCTGGAAAACAAATTGATGTGTTTAATTCTCATGCATGAATCATTGACGATAATTTTGAAATACAAATATTTATTTCAAACATCCAATTCTTTTAAAAAGAAAAACTATGCTATAATGTAGTTATGTAGATTAATATAATCCATGTTGTAAGTAAACATGTACATAGGTAAGGTTTTATTGCGGCATGTCCTCTCCTAAAGTTTAGCTTTGTTGGCGCTGCCACCAGCCATTTGGAAAAGTGGCTTGAAATTAGGATTTGTTATGGCCTCTCTGTCTTTGGTAAAACCAGATATATCGTATTGAGTTTGACCATCTATCGCCATTTCACTCAAAATTTTACCAATGAGACAGGCAAATCTGAAATAAAAAATCATTTTATTAAAAATAACAACAAACTCATTCTAGAGGTGTGGTACCATGTGTGCGCGACAATCCGTGTCATTGAAAATCCATATCACTGATACCCATCATGCATTACCCATCTTACCAATGGCGGGTATACGTAGACTACACATGCAATGCAAGCCTTAATGTTTGTTTGAAGTATGATTCCTATACGGTACATATCAAAATCATTGAAAACCTCCTGAATAGCTTCTATGAGTACGCACTGCGTGACGTAATCAATCTAGAAATAATTGTGTCATGTGTTTTTGTAATCAATCCAGTCTGTGTTCAATGATTTTGATATATACGCACCAAGCTTTGCACATTTCGTACACATGAAATCGTAGTCTGACACAGCCGCTCCGTGCTGTCCACAAGACCATGCAATATTTCCTGAATGTAGTTAGAATCAGAATCACTGATAAGGATGACATCAATGCGATTTAATGAGTCACAAATATTAACTTTTTTCCTCCGACAAATTAAATTCTAAAACATTTTTATTTTATGTATTAGAAAAATAAATAAAGCCGTTTAAAGTATTTATAGGTAAAAATTATTTCCTATTTAGTATAAATGGGTATCAAAATGAGTAAAAGGCACCATTCTGCCCGAACCAGTAACGTCTTATGTAAACAATGCACACGCCATTGAGCCAATGATAGGCGCCGCGTGCTATGACGTCACGTGTTGAAGGCAGTCATCTTTTACAGAGATATTATAAGAAGACCTTCGTAATACTCTGTCTAAATTATATTCCCACCTTTACCGGAAGAAACCATTCCCTAGAATATCAGAGTTATCTCCCCTAAACAAATGTGGGCTCCTCTACTCTTTATACATTTAGTTCAATCGCGAATAAACATTTCTTATATTTAGATATAGATCCTTGTCTTAAGGACTAGCATAGATGTGACCTGTGTTTTAATCACTTAAATTTAAGAGGGGGCAAATAGCGAGTGTTCGAGAGGCCCCTGTTCCTCTTCATACCCATCTTCACTCCAACCGGATAATATTACGTTCTTCCAAAAACAAGTACTATGGACCAGGAACAGGAACTGAACATGACCCCATCGCCGCCATCTTTGCATACCAAGTTTCATATCGGTGGTACTTGAATTGGCGGAGTGTATAGGCGCTCCTGGCTCAATTTCACTTTTGCCTGATCAGAGCAAGAAGTCGCCCCAGAAACAGAGCAAGAACAACAAGACGAGTACGTAGTGCTGGGGCCCAGTTCTTAATTCAAAAATATAAAAGATAGGTTGCAGGCAACGAAACATACGCTCAAAGCAGCTAAGTCGGCCGGACAGTCAACAAGAGTTGTCGCATATTTTTTTCTATTGTCGGTAAAGAAACAATTATAATACACTAATATCTGATAAAGAGTAACAACTGTGTAATTATCAGAAAATCATTAGAATTTGTTTGGCTTTTAGTTCTGCCCCATGCTAACGTTTAGTATACGAAACATTTAATATCACGAATTTAGCTGTTCAAAATTAAAAGAAAATCAATATACTTGTTCGTCTCAAGACCTTAAACTCTGTTTATCAATTTAAAGTCAATCGGATGATAACTTTGGTCTCTAGAGCATCCACAAGATTTTTCAAAGTGATCATGGGCTATAACTCTGGTAGTAATTAAAGGAAATCATTGAAAATCACTGGGATTCTTCATCTCACGACCTTAAACACTGTGTATAAATTTAAACTCAATCGGATATTAACTTTAGCCTCTAAAGCGTCCACAAGATATTCCAAAGTGATCAAGGGTCATAACTCTATCAGTAATTATCGGAAATCGTTAAAAATCAACAGACGCCTTCGTCTCATGACCTTAAAAGCTGCGTATAAATTTAAAGTCGATCGGATAATAACTCGAGCCTCTAGAGCGTCCACAAGATTTTTCAAAATGATCAAGGGCCGAAATCGCCGAAAATCAATAGGCTTCTTCGTCTCATGACCTTAAACACTGTGTATAAATTTAAAGTCAATCGGATATTCACTTTAGCCTCTAGAGCGTCCACAAGCAATTGTGGACGTCGGATGGACGGACGGACGGGCGGGCGAACGGGGGCGACGACAATATACGATCACATTTCAATGTGGACGTATGAAAAGTAAAATCTTCCTGTGCTTACTTGTACGCATGCCCAGCACCACAGCAGAATACAATGTCCGAGAAGCCAACATGATCACATTTATCTATGACGTAATGTCTATCTGGGGTCATAGTATACAGACATGTTTTAGTTTGTACAACAGGACCTATAAACTAATAGAAAATAAGAAACATCAGAAATGTTATGGTATATAGATATTACATAAATACACATGCCTTATCACACCTCCTCGAAAAGTCTAATCCTTTAGAGTTCATGTCCATCAAACATGAACATCTACGATAACAATATTGAAATATTTAGTTGTCATCAAGATGACTTACCCAACTTTTAATTAATTACCTACGTAACATTAATTGTGGCTTCCTAGAATCATAGGTTATGACCATGTTTAGAAGCTAAGAGGATTAAAAGTTACTTAACTCTGATAATAAGGGATAGTGTCGTTAGGGGGAAGTGAGCCCGGCCTCTCTTCACTCACACTGTCTAGCACCCGTAAAAAATGTTGGCTGTACTTAAAAGTATTCTTTTCCTTTAGTTTTTAAACACTCCAGTGTCAAGATGAACCCCTAATGACAACGTATCGTTATAAATAGTATTGCAGTGAGACAAGGGTTGAGCATTATCGGTAGTCACCCCTATTCCCATGAAACAATAGCTACCCCTATTCCCATGAAACAATGGATTATCAAGGTATGCTCGGTGTAAGAACAGATAGATAAATAGAAAAAAAACCCGTCCCTAGAAACGACGAAGAATATAAATGGTGAATGAAGAGTTTTCTAACTCAAAAGAGTTGGGATCATAACTAATTCCAGCAAATCAAATGAAAACTGTATTTCCCAGAATGGTAACAGCATGCTACACTGATATAAAAAGTTATAACGCTGGAAGGTTTCTCGGCATATGTACACAACGTTTCGAAAAAATGATTAAAGGCATTCACAGTGGAATTATTATCCAAAATTATCAACACTTTTTCCGACCTAACCAATGTGCGTAAGTATATTTGATAAAAATTAGATGTTCACATTTGTTTTCGCGGGGTCGCAGATTCTATAAATTGATCAAAGAAATAAATATGACATAGTTAATATAAAAAAAAATCATTGGAAAGTTACGGACATCTCAAAATCACTAATCTAACGTAAAGAAAACGGCCCATACAGTGTTCACGCAATCCGCAGAGGATATCTCTACGGGAAAAAGTGACGGCCATATACGACCACATAATCAAATTCACGTTATCGGTCACAAGATAACTTCGAATCTAGCATGTTTTACCGATGATCAGACCGAGTGACACTTCACATTGCACTTTTCAAGGACAGCTCTTGATTACACAATTGGATGATACGTCATTTTAAAGGAGCTGGTCCGTTGATATCTTTATGTGTAAAAATAACTTCGAAGAAATTATTTGATGCTCTGTAATACAGTTTAACGTTTCAAGTTTTGTTGAGGCCATTATTTTGTACTCGAGGGAGCCAATATTTAATGTAGGGTTTATTGCCCTGTCTTTCTGCAACAAGAGAGCTAATATGGGCGTACATACGGCATGCAGAGCTACGGCCTTTTTGTTATCTCGATTGCTAACTATCAGGCGATCTTTAACAGGCTGCAAATGATATACAATACACAGGACCTCGGATTTTTGTCCCACCGAACGACTAGACCACTTCCCGCGTCAGGGGATATCGGATTGGAAAATCTCGAGAAAATTTCTCGGTCAACATCGAGATCAACATCGAGATCGTACCCGAGGGAAGTAGTATATTTCTCCTTGATAAAAACTACAGAAGTCTTGTCATAATGTCGCTAAGTAATACGCATTAATTGTTTAACATAGAATTATGACCTTTGTAATTGTAATTCAATTACTGAATGCCATAAATACAATTTGGCTTTGTATTGTTATTTCAGTTGCATATTAAAACCCAGTTTAATAAACAAATTAGACATTGTTAATTCTGGGACAGCCCCTTTAATAAGGCGTTAATCTCGTTGTATTATGTAGGTAAACGTATAATAGATAATACCAATAAGTCATATGACAATATTATTTTAAGGGGTCATACTACTTCTTAGACCTTGATATGAGACAGGAGAAGGTCAATATGTAGGATTATGCTATTGTTATAAGGGGCATGGCTCTAAATTTTTTTAACCTTGAGATAAAAAAAATGATTCTAAAAAGTATAATAGATAATACGAATAAGTCATATGACAATATTTTTTTAAGGGGCCATACTACCTCTTAGACCTTGATATGAGACAGGAGAAGGTCAATATGATATTGTTAAAGTGCGCATGGCTCTATTTTTTGGAACCTTGAAATAGACAAAAATAGTTCTAAAAGCACACGTGAATGTAATATTAATGTATGTAAAGTGATTTATATTCAATTTTGGAATAAAAAAATATTGTAATTTCTAATCAATTATGTTCGGTGAAATTCGTGAACAGTTCCCTGCTTAGTGCATTCTACACATTTTTTAATTTATTATTTTGTCGTTTGTGAATTAGCCTTCACTAAATACTTCCACATTGTGCTGTGGGATATGTTTTATTTATAGAATACAAAATGGCACAAGAAACCATAGGGTACACGACTCGTGTACTGATTATAAAATGTTGATTGTGTCTTAAATATTGGATATTAGGATCCTATAGTTTCACGGCAAGATAACAAGATCAATATTGATTGAAATTGATCAATATTCAATTCTAATTCGTGTTTTAATTTCGAATATTATGGAAAAAATTTAGGTAGAGACTTAGCTACTTTAAATATATCCTCATCAGCAAATTGTAAATAATTTTAATACAATGTTTTACCTAGATACATAAACCTCTTACTTTCGGTGCTATAGATGCCATGAAGTCTATCGACTGTTTCTCTAGCTCTGCATTGGGAGTAAAGGTTCTGGTAGCAGCGGTCACGACCTCGCCACAAGCATCGGCACCTACTTTAGTTGCTGCATTCCCATGAACTGGGATCTGATAAAAATCATGGCCTGGGGTATGGTAAACAAAAATAGGAAACCTATAAAAGAATCTAAGTTTATAATAGCAAGTCTCGACGGCAATCTTAATCGATTGAAAATTCTTTTTTAATACCAAGAAAAGGATATTCTGGACAATACATTATTCTCTTGTTATTTTGGATTCAGGGATATTTTGGCCCCAAATTAAACAGCAACAAGAGAATGTTTGAATGGTAAATCGTACATGATTAATTGTGTTCGTGGCGTTAAATCTAACGATATTTAATGTGGTTGTGTCGGCCATTAAGGCAACCAAATCATAATCAGTACATTTCAGAATTTTGTTATACATTGGGGTGTAATATTGAGGATGGGGATCTTACTTGTCTTTGGTGAAATCTCTGATATACGGAGTGCCCAAGTAAGTAACTTGTTCTTGTGTAACTGTAACTGGTATGTGTACGCCTACAGAGCCCAAGACTTGATTAATCCAGGCACCGGCAGCTACTACTAAACGACGACAGGTGAACGTCCCTTTCGTTGTTTGAACCTAAAACATAAATAAAGTGTTGTTTAGTTAGATATCATTATTGCTATTTTTAAAAATCAATCCCTAATTGTTTGAAAATATGCCTTTATGTATATATGTTTATCCCAGATTTTGTTTTACGCTATGGATGCCTACAGCAACGAGACTAAAATTGTTCGACAGATCTTTCTTTGCAAATATTCAGAAATATGTCCACCCCAAGTCTCCTGTATAGATCCATGGTCGATTTGCAACTTAAAGTGCCTGTAATTTATGTTCTCAATTTAATTGATATCTCATTTTTGGCGTCGTTCACACGGGGGAAGGGGAGGTGCGAATGGTTCAAATAGCGTGTTTTCCAGGCTGAGAGCAAGTTACAATTTCCTTTAACTAGTTAACGTGTTAGTTAATGCGTTAAAATTTTAAGTTAACGAGTTAATATATAAGTTAATTATCGACGCTCCAGCAGGATGATCATTATCATACCCAACCTCTTTCAGGGAGTAAAAAAATAAAAATCCATCTCTCTCTCTCTCTCTCTCTCTCTCTCTATCGTTCCCGTGGATAAATGTAAGTTAAACCATCTTACCGTTATTTGTCCAGTATCATTTCTAAGCACACGTATTACAGGTGCGTTAGCAAGTATAGATGCTCCATAACCTCTAGCAAGCTGAATATGGACGGAATTAGACAAGGCAGCATCCACGAGACCTGCGTCCGGCTGATATAAACTGATGACATCTTTGCCAACCTCGAACTGTGGAAATTTTTTCATCAGTGCTTCAGAATCCAGGCGTTCGTATCTAAAATAGAAATAAAGTGTACCTATATCAAAGGAAAACTTGGATCTTGGTTGAATTTGACAAGGATCCCTTTCAACAAATCTGATCTCTATCCCGTTCGGAAGCTTTATTGGGCGCATAATCTCAGCAACACAAAGTCCTATTTTGCTGAAGATCATCAGGGTTCATCATCTCCTATCTTAATGCCTCACACCATATCTAAAAATTAACTGAAAAAACCCCAATATGGTTCAACCACTCACAATCACAATCACAATGCTAATGCTTTACCCTAAATTTGCAAAACAATCTGTACACTGAAATATGGGCGTATGAAACATTATGTTATTTGTATTTATCAAGAAGCTTTATCATTTGACCAATCACTAATCCATGTATTCAAATTTGAAACGGAGAATGTACCCGACGTTTAAAAGTTAAGCAGCTACTGTTTTGAAGGACTTACTTAATGTTATGGCTGTCCATACCCTTAGCATAATTTTCCATGACAAAATCAGCTTCTCCACGTCGACTCATATTTAAACCACCACATTTATGTACCAACTGTACACCAGATTCCTTCTCTACTTCATGCCAACTATAATTTAATAAATAACGTATTTTAAAATAAAGCTCTGCACCCCCCCTCCCCACACACACACACAAAATAAACTGTGTAAAATTATCTCCCAAATCCGGACTTTATTGTTGAATTTACAACTGGATTGTAAACATGCAAATTTAAATAAAATCGACTGCTTTTCAAATCGTTTTTCGTTTCGTTTTATATAACATATTTTTATTTTGCTCAATTACAACCATATAGCTGAAACGAAATAAATATTTAATTTTAATTATGGTGGTATTTTATAGAATGGAGTCCTTTTACAAAAATATTATCCTGAAATTAAAACTGCTGTTGGAGTAAAGTAAGGTACTGAATCAATTTCTCAGTTCGTTAGTATTTTAAATACACTTATCTTTGAAATTTCGAAAGTATTCTGAATCATCATTATTTAAAAAGTAAGGCCATTATAGAGACATAAGTAGAGTAATAGTATTTTTGATATTTATTACTTTAGGTATGAAAAGTTTAAATATATATTTGGAGGAAAAGCTGGACATATCTACACGGGGTGGAATGGCAGATATAGACTGGTTCATGTCCATGATAAGCAATATTCAGGGACATAAAATTCAGATCAACCTTATACGAAGTCGATAATGTCCAGTTTCAATAGTTTGAAGTACACACGACAAATCATGGAGCCAATGGGTGAGTTAAGAATGTTTCAAGATGTTTAAAGATGCCACCCCGTGTACAAATTGTGTGATTTGATGATATATTATCCTCTACCAATATCTTTTTCTGCCGTTTAATCACAGAGTATACTGGATGCCCAATTCTCTCAATGTTCTCACACTCTTTAGCCATGAGATCAATACACAAGAAGGGCCCGTTACATCACTCAAAGAGACTGGATGTCATTTAAAGGCTCAATACCACTCTTGTTGTAACTGAATAATATGTCCCAATCTTTATTCTGGTCAACAAATTGCACTAGTTTACAATATTCCAATTAATTGATGATACAAATTTCATCTTAACACACCTAATTTAAAAAATTGGAAAAATTCAACTAAATGATTTGAAAAGCCTGACGTAAAGTTTTTCAAATGTGACTTGGATTTAAAAATATTTTTGAACCCTCTGGACAAGTAAAATAGGATTTAATGGATAATTTACATAACAGGTAGGACACTAACACATCTAGTACTTAGAATAAGGCTATTTTTTATTTTCTGGAGCTGTCTAGCCAGAAAGAGTGTTATTGCCCCTTTAAGGATACCATCACATTTCCTCTTGTGCGCGCCACGTGGGTGTTTTTCTGGCAATCCATTATTTTTCTAGTAAGATTGGGTGTCTCTACTTTCCGCATAATAATATATACCAAATTACTATACTTTTATTGGAAATAACTATCCGATAAATACTTTCGTGGGAATGTATCTTTAATGTATCTACTTACGTTTGGAGTGTATCACGTGCTAACTTCGTGTATCGTTTATCATGGTAAGTTAAACGTCTGAAATTAAATAGGAAATATATTTTTCAGTATCTTTATAACTTTGTAGTAATTACCCAATACAGATTATAAAAAGTTAAACTACTGACCACTGAAATTTGAACAAATTGAGAATTTTCAATTGTTCACATCTTATGGAACTCTTAATGAAAACACAGAATTCAAAATACTCGAAATAGTCCATGAAATAAATCTTACACGATTCTTGAATGATCTTGTGAGCCACCATTATGATGCCCCAATTCAAACTGTTCTATTCCTAAAACATCTGAAAATTAAGAAATTAAAATTAAATTGACGAACGTGGTGAACGAATAAAATTTATCAATGATTGTCACAGAGTAAAGAAAAGACGAATAATTGATGAAAATAGAAACTGGGATAAAAACATGCGGGTTGCTTATTTATTTTTTCTGGTCAGTTTCTTATAAAACATTTGTCTACGGTATCACCCACGGCAAAAGCGGACCTTAACACCCACTGACGAACAAACAAACGAAGATAAATTTAGCAAGTACTCCTTTCTCCAAGTTACTATTCGATTAAAAACAAAGAGGCCTGATTTTAACATAGACATGGGGTTTCTAGAATGTAGACTTTCAGAAGAAGGAAACCCTGCTGTTCTGTATACTGATCCCTGGGTTAGATAGATAAATGAACAGTCTATCTTTTTTTAAGTTCAACTAACATCGGTTGTATCTATTGCAGATAATGTAATTAGGAAAACGAGTTTTTCTTATACTCTTTCCTTGTTTCCCTTATCCATCAAATAATTCACTGCTATCAGCTATGACCAGTCGGAAATGAATGGGCAAGAGGTAAAATCAATAGGGCTCATCCACTTATTCAAGATCCTTTGATACTTAATATTTGTCAAGTTTCATCAGAATGGGACAACAATGGTAGCCCCTCTGGAAGGCCTACACAAACCATACATATTTCAAATTTTGCGTGAAAAGCAGCGGCTATAGCTCTGGAATGTTAAGTCTGATAGGTACCAAAGTCTAACTCATCTAAGAAGTTAACATATAGTTTAAGTTTCACGAGAAAGGTCCACAAACTTTATTCATATTTCACATTTTGTGTAAAAGGCAGGGAGGGGCAGATGCGCACGGAAATTGAACTCGACCAAGAACTAGTGATACTCGTTTTAAGTTTCATCTAAATCGGAAAAAAATGTGACCTCTAGATGGTCCACAACCTGGGTATTACATGCTTTTATTATAATATTTGCGTAACGGGGAGCGGCTATTTGACGGGAAGTTCCGGTCCGATTTTCAGGAAATTCGGACTCAACCATAATTATGGTGTAACGGTTATATATTTGAACAGTTTTGAAAATAAGATAAAAATTGTGAAGGGCCCATAATATAAAAACGTGATATTTCATACAATCACGGGGTCATAATCCAGAAAGTTACGGTCCAATACGAGCTAATATCGAAAGGAACCCAGATCTTTGGGATATAAATATATATTTTAAGTTTTATCAAAATTGGATAAAGAATTCGAACCTCTGGATGGTCCACAATCTGGGTATTACGGTCAGATCTAAATATTAAGTAAAAAGGGTCAGGGCATGTGATTTTTGCCGAGGATTGTGGGTTAGGGTAAGGGCTAGGACTTAGGTTAGGGTTAGCGCTAGCCCTGTTTACATCTCGTGACCCTGACGAAATCTGCAGGTGGCCTTAATATTTAAATCTAACCCGGGTATTACATTCACAAATGATAAAACAATAGTACAAAAATCGTGTAGAGCGACTAAGCAGGCATAAACGATTATCGTTCAATTTGGACTGTTCAAGTATTTCACCAAACATAATTGAATAGAAATTACAATAAAAATATTGAAAGAATAAATGACTTTATATACATTCATATTACTTTAATATGTGCTTTTTATGCCCATCTTTGTCTATTTTAAGATTCCAAAGAATAGAGCCATACACCCTTTAGTTAATATTATGATAAGAGCACATATTATGTTGACTTTCGAGATAATTGTGAACCACCCTGCTTGTTGACATCTTGAATAGAGACATTACCTGCTTTTGCGCGTTTTGCTAACCAATAAACTGCAGCACTGCCAATTCCCCCACAACCAACTACGATATATTCAAAGTGAGTTCTTCCCTCGTCATACCATGTTCGTCTGCTAGCCGCCATGTTTACAACTGCTTATGTGCAAGATTAATAAAACCTCTTCACTTATATACTTATATCAGTGTGTGTTTTTTGTTTACTGATAATATACCGGTATTATATCTAGTTTCTTATCATTATTCTGTATCAACAAATATTGAAATGCAGTATGCATACACCATTACATACAATTATCCCCCTAAAGGGACGATGTCTCAAAAGTAAAAAAAAAGAATAAAAAGTACTATAAAGACAATTAGTATAAATCAGTTGAGCACGTACCAGTACGAACAAATATCATTACACGTACAGATTTGGCTGGCTTATGGTGTAAGTAAACTGGACCACGACCTATGAAAAGATTCATGTTATTGCCCTTCGTTTTATAAACTCTTTTCTATGAAAAGGGATAGTTACGGAGCCCGGTGTGGGATAAAAAATAAAGCAAACTATCTGGCGGGCTGGTTATTATCCACGCGTGGAAATAACTATAAGTGCGCGTCAGATAATAAGTAATGCACACCAGAAAAATTGTGCCCGAAAGATAATATAACTATAGTGGATCTACCACAACCCTCTACGGTTCAAGGGTAATTTCAGTGGGTGTTTGCGGCTCATTAATATAAACAATGCACACAGATATTTAGTAACTAGCTTGTAAAACGTCTACAAAATTCTACGAAGTAAACAAGGGCGATGACCTTGGAAGTAAATGTCGTTCAGAATCCATTGAAATCCAATGGCCATCATTGTCTTACTAATGCATACAAATTTGAGGTTCGGCTAGGGGGCCAAACTCACAATGGGGCCCAATAAATTAAAATGTCCTACCAAATTAAACCTCCATTCTGAATTTGGCCCCCTAACGGAATTCACCATCATTATTAGGAGGAATGCCCAAGCTTATTGGATTCAGCGGGTCGAATTCTTAAAGAAACCATCTTCAAACCGAGGTCCGAGTGAATCTGACACATATTTTACACCACTAAATAACCAGCAAATGCCTTATGTCGACCATCTTGAATATTTAAATTTTCCCAAGGGTGCCAGGGTGGCATCATCCGGATTCTGAATCTACACATTTTGAAGATATATAATACACCAAATAACATTAAGTGGACTATATTTCCATATCAAGGGGTTTGGCAACCGGACTATCTCCTAATCAGTGTTGATGCATATTATATTTTAAACACCGACGGGTGGTATGTCAGTGGTCACTGAGTTGAACCACTACTTATTATTCTTCATACGATTACTTAATCTTTAATAGTTATTACATACAGATGAAAATATGTAATATCCAAAATTCTCAATAAATCTGACCACAAGCTGATAATGGAGAAGATATTGGAAGGTCGGGCTTGGCTGTCGTGTCTGTTTGCAGAACCCCACCACACAAACTTCATAGCAATGGGCAGTACGATCCCTGGGGTGCTAAATAATTTCCAAGCAGTTTTAAATGGTACACACTTCAGTTGCGGGGCGTGGCAGGTTGGGCGTGTCTGTCAGGGGTACACCGCAGTAGTCATTCATGATTCAGATGATACAGACTTCAGCTAATCTAGTCTATTTGCGGGGCGTGGTATTTTGGGCTTGTCTGCCAGTGGTAGTTCATGATCCCTGTGGTGGTGCTGAACAACGTTCAAGCAGTTTTAGGTGGTAAGGATTTCAGCTAATCTAGCCTAGTTGGGGCGAGTATTTTGGGCGTGTCTGTCAGGGGTGACCCACCACACAAACTGTCTGGCAGGGGTCATTCTTGATTCCTGTGGTGGTGCTGAACAACTTCCTAGCAGTTTTAGGTAGTACAGATTTTAGCTAATCTAGCCTATAAGCTGTGGTATAGCAATTACATGACTGTCAGGGGTACCCAATTACTAAAATGTTTGTCAGAGTGTTTTTGTAATACTTGAAGATGTAATCTACACTGCTGTACCAATGTCATGTAGTACTAGTACTCTTTTGAGCTAATCTAGCTCAAGAATTCATATCCAGAATCTCAGCCCTCACAGTCACATCCACCGCCAGATACCCGGCAGACTTACATTCTGGTGATACCAGATATGTATGTATATTGATACCATATAGGTAAAAATGGGTATACTTATAAAGAGAATTTTTAGTGTAGGTAAAGCAGAGCTAAGACACACCAGGGTTGTGTAACTGGGTGTATTGTTTTAGTTCATCAATTCTTAAAGAGACATTAGGTAAGATAAAATAAAGAGCTGCCAGTTTTCGCTATCATAGTTAGACAATAATAAATGGAAACAAACTATGTTGAAAATTTCAGTCAATTTGCTTCACTCTGAACCGATATATTAGTCATTGAATTTTAGGCTAGTCTCGGTCGTCATTACTGACGTTGGTATGATAACAAAGAAAGTCTCGATTATCCATTTTATACGTTAACTTATCCATCACAAAATGTTTTCAAATCTTTATGTGCAGATTCTGTCGATTTCCAAACGCGTTTTTATAGAAGGGAGATAACCTACTTTAACGCGTGGAGGCAGTTCACCTTTTCGATGGAATCAATGCTTTCCGCCACGAATGGGGTAGAATCTGGGCATGTCTTTGCTCTGAAGGTGGAATTAAATGGTGTGCAGATTCTGCCGATTTCCAAACGCGTTCTTATAGAAGGGAGATAACCTAATTTAACGCTTGGAGGCATTCACCTATTCTATGGCATCAAATGGGATAGCATCTGGGCATGTCTTTGCTCTAAAGGTGGAATTAGTGGGCGGTCTACCTCCGTTTAAGCCCTATCTGCCAGGCTTTACAAAGTTGGTTTATTGTAGATTGATTTTTTGAACAAAATCCCAACAGATGGATGTTTTGATTGATATTGTTTTCGCAAAATCTGTGCATGGATCTTACAAATAGTGCACGTTAATTAAATATGGCGATAATTTGTTCGTACTTGTGGATAATTCTTTCCTCGAAAGGCGACTGTGACATGTCTGAAGTTGGCCATCTTTTTGGAAGTTGATTAGTTCTAAGACAGCGATAGAATAGACCAGAAGGAATAATAATGGACAACGAACTGTTTGGTTTTTTTTTAGAATAAGTGGTGGGTTTCTTCCAAAAAATGAAGTTACCAGGCCAGTTTACCGGAGGAAAACGAATGTAGACAGCAGACGATGATGAAATTCATTTTCAGGGATATTAAATTCGATGCCCAGATGGATATAGTCGACCCAAGTATATTGATGGCAATGGAAGGTCATGTGGAAAACATGATCAATTCTTCCTCATCTCAGATATGCGATTACAGACATTTGACATATTTTGATGAGAGCGGATCCACACTAACGTCCAGTTACCATTTCAAATTACTGACAATGAACACTCAATATCCATCTCTAAGAACGTATCGAACGGCTGAAGTTGATTTATGGAGAATACCGGACCAACTTCAGAATTATCGGCAGTATATTCCTTGTTTAAAAAGCCTTGATATGTCTAAGAACAACATCCAAACTGTCAATTTTACCATGGTCAGCACAACGCCATGTTTGTTATCGCCTACCCAGCAACCAAGTTATATAAACTTACGCTTCAACAAGATTACAACAGTTTCTGCCGCCATGTTGGACACCATGATGGATAATGACATCATCGTAGATGTTCGTAACAACCCGATAAATTGTGCTGAACACATGGTTACTGTTTATCCGACGTTTTCCTCGCTCTTCAGTGATTTACCGTGTCGTGAACCACAATCATGATAACAATTCTGTGAGACGTCAAGAATGACCGTTTAAACGGTGACCAGTGCCATACAAAATGGGCATTTTCTCTTGGACAAAACATTAACAAATATTCTGAGTTAAAAGTGGAAAAAACTTTAATAACTGTAGACTAGTGAATCAATATCTGTATGATATCTGTCTCACAGAATAAACAAATTCCAAAATCTCATATAAATATGTATAATATTATATATTCAAGAAATGTTTGTGTAACGATGTGAAATTGACAACGATTTAATATTATATAAATTTGTATTCTAGTCATAAATTTATTATATTTTATCAATTCGAAAGCCAGTCGATTATCCATAATAACATATAATTTAGCTATGTATAACCTTACAGAATAATCAGTTTTGTAACAATCAATATGATACATTAAAGTTTTTATTATTGCATTGTAGTTACTTTATAGTGTCTTATATTTGTAGAACAAGATTTAAAACATAGTCAATTTCGAAGAATTAATATAATACTGATACAGTATATTACAGTTGTAGTTGTTTTTATAATTATATAATTTGGTGGATTCAACAATATTTTATTTAAAAACTAGTCAATATATTTCAGAACACTTAACATAATAAAGGTAATAATATTAATACAATATTTTACAATTAGATTTGTCATCATATATTATTATACATGTAATTGCATTGCTGTTGCTTTGTATCTTAACGAAATAAACACCAAAAATGGCTTCTATTAAAAATAATGAAATAGGCAATTACAGCCTTATTATTGCATTGTTATTGCTTTAAATTGTCTTTAAATAAAATTACAGCTTGGCCCTGGCTGCAGCTTGCTCTGCTATTTGTTTTCCCCACTGAAAGTCGTTGGGGTAATTAGGGTCAGTGATAGCTTCTCTGTATCTTGTAAAACCAGCAATGTCGTACTGTGTTTCACCATCTATTGCCATTTCACTCATAATTTTACCCAATAAACAAGCAAATCTGTTCACAAAAAGTAAAAATAAACTAATATATTACTATACTCTTCAAAAAAAGTAGGGGATATTCAGAAACAATATAAAACTTCGGAAATGCACTGCTGTTTTTATTAGAGGTAACCAGTGTATGTTAATAACAGGCCAATTGCCTACACATGAACATAAATAGTTTATATGGGCATTTCACTCGCAAAGAGATACACTAACAAAAGTGAAAATGGACGTTTTTGATTTTTGTCTTAATAATGAGTAATAGCTCCACCAATCCTCAGACATTCAGCAATTCGTCGTGGCATGCCCCTAATCAATCGTCCAATTACGATTTGGGACAATCTGACCTACTCCTCTTGCAGTGCCACGGCCAATTCTTGCAGTCTTGTCGGTTGACGTTGACGTCGACGAACACGTCACCCGATCAAATTAAACGTAACACACTAAAGCAAAGATACACTAAACAGTAAATATTATGCAAGAACCGATAGGAAAGCAAACATGGATGGGATAAACCAGCAAGCGGCAGTTTTCATCAACCCTTCCTTGAAGTGTCAAATTTGACAATGAACCCCTCCCACGTGTATGACACTGTTTCGCACATGCAGCTCGAGTGGTTCTGTTGGGGCGATAAGTTCTTCATCTGTGAACATACTCTCAAAGCATGTTAAGTGTCCATGACTATTTATCATATCACAACCTGCATAGGTATTTGCATTTCAATATCCCCTACATTTTTTAAAGAGTATATTTATCCAGCTGCTGAATTAAATTTATCCCTCTAGGAAGAAGCTAATCGTTAAAATAAATGTTAAAAAAAACATTCGAAAAAAAAGAAGCTCATTAGGTTCAGTTGAATCTTTGCATGCCATCTCAAACAAAAAATTATAATGCACAGTACGTCGTTTGTTTGTGCTCGAAAGACGCAACAATTTATTTGCCCAAATCGGTTAATTTAACAGCTCTTTATTTTTTTTAAAAAAAAGGGAAATAGTTCTAGCCTTTTCACCATTACAATGGTGTTTTGGAGTTGGTTTAATGGGTTTTATTAAAAGGAATTAGCTTACTTGAAAGCATGGCCAGCACCGCAGCAAAATATCACATCAGACCAACCCTCCTTATCACATTTGTCTATGACAAAATGTCTATCGGGTGTCATGGTATATAAACAAGTTTTCGTATACATTATTGGACCTACAAACTATAAATAATAATATAATTATAGAAACAAGTTAGCTCGATTACTGCAACAGTTAACATTGCCAGTGGTGTAGGATGGGGGTTTGAAAAGGCTCAGCGTGGACAATTCAAAATTAAGATACTTAAAATTCCATTCAAATTACTTTATTCTGAGGGTCGTTACCACTGTTTGAAGTTTTGACAATGATTGTTGTTATCGTAACAAGGTTACTTGTTAAAGATACATTGTCCCGAAAGTTGTTATTTCCAATTCAAGTATGGCAAATATGGTATATATAAAAATTATAGACACCTAATCTTACTAGAAAAATACTGGATTACCCGAAAACACCCATAGGGCAAGCACTGGGCACAAATGTCAGGTATCACTAACCACACTGATCAGCAGCGAATATTCGCTAGGCCGCTACAATCACTGATAAGGATGACATCGATGCGACTTAATGAGCCCAAAATATTAACTTTTTTCTTCCGACAAATTAAATTCTAAAACATTTTTTTTTATGTATTAGAAGAATAAATAAAGAGGTTTGAAGTATTTGTAGGTAAAAATTATTTCCTATTTAGTGTGAATGGGTATTAAAATGAGTAAAAGGCACCATTCTGCCCGAACCAGTAACGTCTTTTATAAACAATGCACGCGCCATTGAGCCAATAATTGACGCCGCGTGATGTGACGGTAAGGTAAGGTATTAAACCCCATTTGTTATCACATAGGTAGGAATTAGGACACTTATCGCCAACCACACAGCACACACTTTATTTGTGACGGCTATTTTATAGTTGTCATCAGCCAATATTTACATTTTAATTATTATTTTGCGATAATTATTTTCAAAACATATTCTGGTGTATAAAGCAAACACAAGGTATACAAATCTGGGAAATTCTTGTAAAATTGACCAATCTTCCCTGTATATTTACATTCTGTTCTTTACTTGTCACTGATGCGGGATGGAGGGCCTGGCAAGCAAGGGAAGTATATAGCCCTTCAGATGGGACGAAAAAATAAGTCCCCGTGTACACAATGGCATAAACGTAAAAGAACCATTGGCAGTTGGAATTCTATATAAGGGAAGGCCGCAGTGCCGCTGTCCGGGAAAAATTTCCCTCATAGCACACAGCATGGCGCATGTCCGTTTTCATTATACCACTAGGTGAGGAACAGTAGGGCGTTAAACCAAATTTCAGATTATTTCTTTACTTATAGGAATGTTTATATAATGATTTCTGGATGTACTGATGTATATCACTGTAATATAATGAACTTCTAGAAAAGTCTGATCTAATCTAGTTCTACAAGCGACAGTTCCTTCTTTCCCGTGGTATCTGTTTAAACAGTTGGTTCAAGAATGCAAATCAAACTCCAAAATCAAAGTTAAATACTGTCTAGTAGTTTCAGATTAAAATATTGGGGAATTTCCAAAATGGAGCAAAGTAGCACAAAAGTTTTTTTTTTTTAAAATGTAGATTAATGAAGAAAGCACATCTTTAGGACAGTGTTATTCGTAAGCACAATGTTACGAATAATGAGTACCTCGATCGTAACCACCGTGTTTACAAATAAAGATTAACTCGTAATTACAACCAGCTAGCCCTAAACTAGCCTTAATCTAAACAAAATGTGGCTACGCATAACATCTTTTATAACTTAATAACTTAACTATACAAATAGTGCTGCTATATTACCTTTGGGGCAAGCGACTGCATCAAGTCGACACACAGTTTTTCTCTCACTGGGTCCACAACGAAGTTCCTGGTATTACCAGTAACAGGTGGACCACCAGCGTCCACACCAATCTTACTACAGGAATTACCATGAATTGGAATCTGGTAATAATCGTGTTCTTTGGCATGGTACAAAAACATTGGAAATCTACAATAATATAAGAGAAGAATTTAGTTAATTGTATGGTTGGAACATAATTTGTCCTATTGAGAAAATCACCATTCTCACTGAATTCTCTATTGGATTATCTCTTATATTTTACGAAGAAATGGTTAATTTTGCTAATTAATGATTAAGCTGACTTTACAGAACAATGGTTACTACTATATATATAGAGAGAGATTTTATTTTGTCATTTTGATAGGATCATCAATTAAAACAAGCACTTACAGAGAAACCACAATAATTGTGTACTCTATTAAGCCAGGCATTTCAGATATGGACAAACATGTTTTAAAATATTATATATCGTTAGGGCATGTGTTATCAACAGGAAAAACAGTTTATAAGGCTCGTACATAAATAATAAGTCGGAGTTAATTATGAAACCGGAGTTAATAGAGATATATGCTTTATATAAGAAAGATATTGAAACGCAGTCGTGCTGGGATATATTTTCAAGAATAATGTTTACTTATTAGCACAGATAGAGTAAAGAAAGTGCTGTTTAAAGGATACAAATTACATGCAAAAGGAATTGAAGACAAATATCTGCAGAATATGAAACATTAAACACAATTATAGGAGAACATTATTAATTTCATCTCGGCAACGTTTTGAAGAGTATTCTCTCAACGTTATCGAAATGTAGCTGAAATAAATTATTTTAGAGAGAGAGCGAGAGAGAGAGAAATGGGGTTTAACGTCCATTCGACACAAACTAGGTCATTTCGGGACTAACATATGGTTTAATTTTATTTCAATAATTCGCTTGCGCGTAGGTGTCTTTAGCAGTGGGAGGAAACCGGAAAATTATTTTAGAGTGTGTTGAAAGTCGTAGTAAAGTCAGTGTTGAGATAAAACGATTTTCTATTCAACTGTGGACACAAGGTCGCAAAAAAGTTAAAATCAGATCAAGCCAAATCAATACTTTATTTTGACCTAAAACAAATAAGATCATCAACTTTAAAACTAATGAAACTGGCGTGGTTTCGAATCCCCGGATGTACGTGACAAGTAGTAGGGTCGCCTGTCCAACCTCGTGGGTTTTCACCGGGTCCCCCGGTTTCCTCCCACTGCTAAAGACACCTACGCGCATGCGAATTATTGAAATAAAATTGAACCATGTTTTAGTCCAGAAATGACCTAGTCATCATTTTATTTAATATCAAACAAATAATACGCCTATGTATGTATATAAAACAAGTGTGGAGAGGTTTTAATAATGAAATACGGAAATGAAGTAATCATTTTATTTAATATCAAACGAATAAAAAGTCGATATCTGTATAAAGAAAAAACAAGCGTGGAGAGGTTTTAATGATGAAATACTCACACAAAAAGTATTAATATACTAAGTAGTAAACGTGGTGTATTCGAAATGCAATGAAATAGAGCACAATCGATTCTAACCAGCTGTCAATTTTCAACTCTAGTTCAATATTCAGTGAACAGAGAATAGACATAGAAACATAGAAACATGCTGAAGAGACAGGTATCTCGACTAAACTACCCCGGGTTCGTTTCGCATAGAAGCCTTTTTATATCAGCATGTTTTTCTTTAATCCTAGATCTCTCTTGTCAGGGTTAACGCAATCTGTTCTGATAATTTGGATCGACGACAAAACGGTTAAGGAAAAGATCATTAGGTCAAAACGTTGCTGTCCAGGCTTCAGGCCCAACTATCTGCATATATACCTAATTATATATTTATAAACTAGGGCTAATTGGCACCGTATTCTCCAATTACCTATCACCTGGAGAAAAAACTGAAGTGTTTAATTCTCATGCATAAATCATAGACGATGATTTTGAAATTCAAAATATTTATTTCAAACATCCAATTCTTTTAAAAAGAAAAACAATGCTAAAATATAGTTATGTAGATTAATATAATCCACGTTGTAAGTAAACATGTACATGTATGGTAAGGGTTTTATTGCGGCATGTCCTCTACTAAAGTTTAGCTTTGTTGGCGCTATCACCAGCCATTTGGAAAAGTGGCTTGAAATTAGGATTTGTTATGGCCTCTCTGTTTTTGGTAAAACCAGATATATCGTATTGAGTTTGACCATCTATCGCCATTTCACTCAAAATTTTACCAATGAGACAGGCAAATCTAAAATAAAAAATCATTTTATTAAAAATAACAACAAACTCATTCTAGAGGTGTGGTACCAATGTACCATGTGTGCGCGACAATCCGTACCAATGGCGGATATATACGTAGCTTACACATGCAATCCAAGCCTTAATGTTTGCTTGAAGTGTCATTCATATACGGTACATATCAAAATCATTGAAAACCTCCTGAACAGATTCTATGAGTACGCACTGCGTGACGTAATCAATCTACAAATAAACCTCTAAGTAATTTGTATTCCATATTATAATTGTGTCATGTATTATTGTAATCAATCCAGTCTGTGTTCAATGATTTTGATATATATATGCACCAAGCTTTGCGCATTTCGTACACATGAAATCATAGTCTGACAAAGTCACTCCGCGCTGTCCACAAGACCATGTAATATTTCCCGACTGTGGTTATACGATGACTGAGTAAATTATTTTCCCGCCTTTAACACTATTACCAGAAGGACACAGATCACCAAATATTCCTACCTACGCCGTCACCCCACCAAATATTCCTACCTACGCCGTCACCCACGAAACAAGGGCCAAAGCTATTTTTAGTCTTCCTCTCCCTTTTCCTTTTTCCCCCTTTTGCATGGCGATTTTTGTTGACTTTTTGGTGTAGAATTGAGGAAAAGGGTTTGAAAATACATTTTCTACCAGGTTTTGGTGAATATTCATAATTTTGATGCGGAAGGATACAAGAGTTGAGAGGTTGGTTACGTTGAAATGTAGGGCCTGAAATTGCATGTTTACTTGTCTCTACTTCCAGCTTGTGTATCTCAAGTTTTTCATGAAGAACCTCATACGTGCTTTTGGGCAAGTGGTTGCCACATGTTGCTCCATCTGTGGTAGAAAGCGTTCTACCCAACGAAAATTTGGGAAAAAGTTAGAGCCGGTCTAAGATACGAGAATTAACATTGGAGTCAATGGGGAATCTTTAGTGATCTGTGTCCAGAAGAAATCATTCCCTAGAATATCAGAGTTATCTCCCCTTAACAAATGTGAGCTCATCTACTCTTTATACATTTAGTTAGGGTGACCCATGTACTCACAGAAATACAGTCCACCGCTGATAGTTCGAGACTACCACTGAAGCGTGCACATTCGCCGTGCCGAGACCAACTTTCTGACAGTATGATACTATAAATAGCCATGGCACGTGCAATTCTCTACAAATCTATCAACTATTACAGCCGTAAAAAATTTATTGTTGACGATTTTGAATAGCATTAAAATTAAGCTTCTTGGTTATTACCGCAGATTTAGAAATTACGTTCGTTTCATTTTTTAAATCGCTTTATCATTAACTGTACCGTTAAGAGCGGCATCTTTTGGTTTGGTACAAATAATATCTCTGAATCACTCGGGTTAGACAGGAACATGATACTAGCAGTAGTTTCATTTTACTTTTACAAGCTTCTTAAAACGATTGTTGAGCTACCTAACGTGCTTATTTCTAAATTCAATTTCTTGTTCTAGCTTTCTGTTATGTTTCGTAAAAAAAGTAGTCTTGATTATCCCGACCTGTCAATCAGACGTAGAATGGTCGATAGACTGGTTAAGCGAGACTAATTTCAAAACAAGGGCACGTTACCTATCTTTTACTCAAAAGTGTCTGGATGTTATGGACGACTCTTGGAACCAGTTTTCAGTCTATTATTTATACATGATTAATGGTAATAGCTTATTAAGTACAACATGATCGTTTATTTAGTGACTATAATTGTGTGAAACTGATTTGAGGCTTGGCATATATATAAATATTGTGGCGTAATTGTCGAGATATATGGAGATATTTATTTATGGTGGGTCACCCTAATTTAGTTCCATCGCGAATAAACATTTCTTATTTAGATATAGATCCTTGTCTTAAGGACTAGCATAGATGTGACCTTTGTTTTAATCATTTAAATTTAGAAGGGAGCAAATAGCGAGTGTTCGAGAGGCTCCTGTTCCTCTTCATACCAATCTTCACTCCAACCGGATAATATTACGTTCTTCCAATAACAAGTACTCTGGACCAGGAACAGGAACTGAACATGACCCCATCGCCGCCATCTTTGCATACCAAGTTTCATATCGGTGGTACTTTAATTGGCGGAGTGTATAGGCGCCTCTGGCTCAATTTCGCTCTTGCCTGATCATAATTACAATTAATGTCTCGGTTTCTTCTATGAATAATCTAGTAACCTTAGCGGAGCATTAGGCCTTTTCTTCGGACGGGGTCGCCCCAGAAAAAGAGCAAGAATATCAAGACGAGCAGTGCTGGGGCCCAGTTCTTAGTTCAAAAATGTAAAGAAGTAAAATCTTCCCGTGCTTACTTGTACGCATGTCCAGCACCACAACAGAATACAATGTCCGAGAAGCCAACATGATCACATTTATCTATGACGTAATGTCTATCTGGGGTCATAGTATACAGACATGTTTTAGTTTGTACAACAGGACCTATAAACTAATAGAAAATAAGAAACATCAGAAATGTTATGGTATATAGATATTACATAAATAAACATGCCTTATCACACCTCGAAAAGCCTAATCCTGCAGAGTTCATGTCCATCAAACATGAACATCTACGGTAACAATATTGAAATATTTAGTTGTCATCAAGATGACTTACCCAACTGTTAATTAATTACCTACGTAACATTAATTGTGGTTTCCTAGAATCATAGGTTTTGACCATGTTTAGAAGCTAAGAGGATTAAAAGTGACTTAAACATACATTATGCAAGAGCTAAATCTGTCTATTGCAGGTCTTTCTTTAGGCCTGAAATGTTATCTAAATTATTAATTAGACATTAATTAACTTATCCAGACCATAATCAACTCTAGATGGCCTCGCTAGCCTGCGATCTTAAGTGGATTGTGAGCCGATTTACTGCATAACTTTCCTTCTCGATTAAACGATTAAATAGATAATCGAGACTATGCTGTTTATCGTACTGGCTTTAGTAATGATGACCGAGGCTAGACAGAAATTTCATTCGCTTAGTTTTCGGTTCATAGTGGATCAATTTGAATGAAATTTTCAGCAAATTGCCTTTACGTTATCTAGTTTTTAACTATTATAGTGAGAACTGCCAACTCGTTATCCAATCTCCCATAATGTATCTTTAACTCTGACGATAAGGGTTTGTGTCGTTAGGGGGAAGTGAGCCCGGCCTCTCTTCACCCACACTGTATATATAATGGGCAATGGCACCCGTAGTAAAAATGTTGGATGTACTTAAAAGTATTCTTTTCCTTTAGTTTTTAAACACTCCAGTGTCAAGATGAACCCCTAATGACAACGTATCGCTATATATAGTATTGCAGTGAGACAAGGGTTGGGCAGTATCGGAAGACACCCTTAGTCTATATATTCCCATGGCACAATGGATTATCAAGGTATGCTCGGTTTAAGAACAGATAGATAAATAGAAACAAACCCCGTTCCCAGAAACGACGAAGAATATAAATGGTGAATGAAAAGTTTTCTAACTCAAAAGAGGTGGGATCATAACTATTTCAAACAAATCAAAATCTCTAATCTAAGGTAAAGAAAACAGCCCATACAGTGTTTACGCAATCCGCAGAGGATGTCTCTACGGGCGAAAGTGACGGCCATATACGACCACATAGTCAAATTCACGTTATCGGTCACAAGATAACTTCGAATCTAACATGTTTTACCGATTATCAAACCGAGTGACACTTCACATTGCGCTTTTCAGGGACAGCTCTTGATTACACAATGGGTTGATACGTAGTTTTAAAGGAGCTGGTCCGTTGATATCTTTATGTGTAAAAATATCTTCGAAGAAATTATTTGAAGCTTTGTAATACGGTTTAACGATTTTAGTTTTATTGAGAGCATTTTTTTTTTACCTAAGGGAGCCATATAAATGAAATGTAGCGTTTATTGTCCTGTTTTCTGCAACAAGAGAGCTAATATAGACGGACATACGGCATGCGGAGCTACGACCTTTTGTTATCTCGATTTCTAACTATCAGGGGATCTTTAACAGGCTGCAAATAATATACAATACACAGGACCTCGGATTTTTGTCCCACCGAACGACTAGACCACTTCCCGCGTCAGGGGATATCGGATTGGAAAATCTCGAGAAAATTTCTCGGTCAACATCGAGATCGTACCCGAGGGAAGTAGTATATGTCTGCCAAGTAATACGCAATAATTGTTAAGATAGGATTATGACCTTTGTAATTGTAATTCAATTACTGAATGCCATTAATACAATTTGGCTTTGTATTTAGTTATTTTAGTTGCATCTTAAAATCCAGTTGAATAAACAAATTAGACATTGTTAATTCAAGGACAACTCCTTTCACAAGGCGTTAATCTTGTTCTATTATGTAGGTAAACGTATAATAGATAATACCAATAAGTCATATGACAATATTATTTTAAGGGGTCATACTACTTCTTAGACCTTCATATGAGATAGGAGAAGGTCATTATGTAGGATTATGCATGTTATTGTTAAAGGTCGCATGGCTCTATTTTTGGGTAAAAGTATAATAGATAATACGAATAAGTCATATGAGAATATTTTTTTAAGGGGCCATACTACCTCTTAGACCTATAGGCGAAGGTCAATATGCTCTATAATATTGAGTTAGCTACCTTAAATATATCCTCACCAGCAATTGTAAATAATTTTAATAAAATGTTTTACCTACATACATAACCCTCTTACTTTCGGTGCTATTGATGCCATGAAGTCTATCGACTGTTTCTCTAGCTCTGCATTGGGAGTAAAAGTTCTGGTACAAGCGGTCACGACCTCGCCACAAGCATCGGCGCCTACTTTAGTTGCTGCATTCCCATGAACAGGGATCTGATAAAAATCATGGCCTGGGGTATGGTAAACAAAAATAGGAAACCTATAAAAGAATCTATGTTTATAAATTAGGCCAGAGACCAAGCATGTCTCGACGGCAAGCTTAATCGGTTGAAAATTATTTTCTAATACCAAGAAAAGGATATTCTGAACAATACATTATTCTCTTGTTATTTTTGTATACAGGGATATTTTGGCCCCAATTTAAACAGCAACATGATTAATATGGTTGTGTCGGCCATTAAAGCGACCAAATCATAATCAGGACATTTCAGAATTTTGTTATAGATGATGGTGTAATATTGAGGACTGGGATCTTACTTGTCTTTGGTGAACTCTTTGATATACGGAGTGCCCATGTAAGTAACCTGTTCTTGTGTAACTGTAACTGGTATGTGTACGCCTACAGAGCCTAAGACTTGATTAATCCAGGCACCGGCAGCTACTACTAAACGACGACAGGTGAACGTCCCTTTCGTAGTTTGAACCTAAAACATAAATAACGTGTTGTTTAGTTAGATATCATTATTGCTATTTTTAAAAATCAATCCCTAAATGTTTGAAAATATGCTTTATGTATGTATTTTTATCCCAGATTTTGTTTTACGCTATGGATGCCTACAGCAACGAGACTAAAATTGTTCGACAGATCTTTATTTGGAACTTTTTAAATAAAACATGCCAACAACAAGTAAAGGTTACATAATGACATAAGTAATGCTACCAAGACCTCCAGGGGTGTCGATAGTAGACAGGTTTAAAATCACTTTCACGTGTCAAGATGGTAGGAAGCGTCTATAACATCTGTCATTATGTAAAAATCTGAATGACATTTTGCATCATTTTCCAGCCGAATTCATTTTCTCTCTCTCTCTCCTTCCCTTGGATAAGTGTAATTTAAATCATCTTACCGATATTTGTCCAGTATCATTTCTAAGCACACGTATTACAGGTGCGTTAGCAAGTATAGATGCTCCATAACCTCTAGCAAGCTGTAGATGCACAGAATTAGCCAAGGCAGCATCCACGAGACCTGCGTCCGGCTGATATAAACTGATGACATCTTTGTCAACCTCGAACTGTGGAAATTTCTTCATCAGTGCTTCAGAATCCAGGCGTTCGTATCTAGAATAGAAATAAAGTGTACCTATATCAAAGGAAAACTTGGATCTTGGTCGAATTTGACAAGGATCCCTTATCCTTTTAACAAATCTGATCTCTATCGTGTTCACAAGCTTTATTGGGCGCATAATCCCTGTAACACAAAGTCCTATATTGCTGAAAATCATCAGGATTCATCATCTCCTATCTCAATGCCTCACACCAAATCTGAAAATTAACTGAGCTCATCATATGGCGGAAAAAAACCCCAATATGGTCCATCCACTCACACCCACGATCACAATCCTAATGCTTTACACAAAATTTGAAAAACAATCTGTAAAAATGATTCTTTCGCATACACAAGTCAATTGTTGACGGACTGACGGGGTGACGCGAAAATACGCCCATACAATGAAATATGGGCGTATAAAACATTATGTTATTTGTATTTATCAAGAAGCTTTATCCTTTGATCAATCACTAATCCAAGTATTCAAATTTGAAACGGAGAATGTACCCGACTTGAGGACTTACTTAATGTTCTGGTCGTCCATAGCCTTAGCATAATTTTCCATGATAAGATCAGCTTCTCCACGTCGACTCATATTTAAACCACCACTTTTATATACCAACTGTACACCAGATTCCTTCTCTACTTCATGCCAACTATAATTTAATAAATAACGTATTTTAATAAATTTTCGTTTCGTTTTATATTAAATATTTTATTTTACTCAATTACAACCATATAGCTGAAACGAAATAAATATTTAATTTTAATTATGGAGTCCTTTTATAAAAATATTATCCTGAAATTAAAACTGCTGTTGGAGTAAAGTAAGGTATTTAGTTATACTGAATCAATTTCTCAGTTCGTTAGTATTAAAATATGCTTTTAAAGGGACAATAACACTCTTGCTGGCTTGACAGCTCCAGAAAATAAATAATAGCCTTATTCTAAGTAATAGATGTTTAAGTGTCCTACCTGTTGTGTAAATTATCCATTACATGCTATTTTACTTGTCCAGAGGGTTCGAAAATATTTTTAAATCCAAGTCACATTTGAAAAGGTTTACTTTAGGCTTTTAAAACCATTTAGTTGAATTTTTCCAATTTTTTAAATTAGGTGTGTTAAGATGAAATTTGTATCACCAATTAATTGGAATATTGTAAAATAGTACAAATTGTTGACCAGAATATAGATTGGGACATATTATTCAGTTACAACAAGAGTGGTATTGAGCCTTTAAGTACCTACAAATACACTTATCTTTGAAATTTCGAAAGTATTCTGAATCATCATTATTTAAAAAGTAAGGCCATTATAGAGACATAAGTAGAGTAAAAGTATTTTTGGTATTTCTTACTTTCAGGTATGAAAAGTATAAATATATATTTGGAGGAAAGGCTGGACAAATCTACACGGGGTGGAATAGCAGATATTATGATTGTTTAGTTAAATATATAGAACTGGTTCATGCCCCTGATGTGCAATATTCAGGGACATAAAATTCGGGTCAACCTTATACGAAGTCGATAATGTCCATTTTCAATAATTTGAAGTACACCCGACAAATCCTGGAGCGAATGGGTGAGTTAAGCATGCTTCAAGATGTTTAAAGATGCCACAACGTGTACAAATTGTGTGGTTTGATGATATATTTGGACTAAAAAACATGTTCAAAGTAATTTAACTATTATTATCCTCTAGCAATATCTTTTTCTGCCGTTTTATCACAGAGTATACTGGACGTTAAATTCTCTCAATGTTCTCACACTCTTTAGCCATTAGATCAATACATAAGAAGAGCTCCTTACATCACTCGAAGAGACTGGATGTCATTTAAGGATGTTATCACATTTTCTCTTGTGCACGCCCCATGGGTGGTTTTTTTCTGGGAATCCCGTAATTTTCTAGTAAAATTGGTTGTCTCTACTTTCCGCATAATAATATATATCAAATTACTATACATTTATTGGAAATAACTATCCGATAAATACTTTCGTGGGAATGTATCTTTAATGTATCTACTTACGTTTGGAATGTTTCACGTGCTATCTTCGTATATCGATCATCATGGTAAGTTAAACGTCTGAAATTAAATAGGAAATATATTTTTCAGTATCTTTATAACTTTGTAGTAATTACCCAATACAGATTATAAAAAGTTGAACCACTGACCACTCAGTTACGTCACTGAAATTTGAACAATAAATTGAAAATTTTCAATTTTTCACATATCTTAAGAAAAATACCCGAAATAGCACATGAAATAAATCTTACATGATTCTTGAATGATCTTGTGAGCCACCATTATGATGCCCCAATTCAAACTGTTCTATTCCTAAAACATCTGAAAATTAAGAAATTAAAATATACGAACGAATAAAATTATCAACGATTTGATGAAAATAGAAACTGGTGAATACGGTTTGGATAAAAGCATGCGGGTTGCTTATTTTTTCTGGTCAGTTTCTTATAAAACATTTGTCTACGATATCTTCCACGGTAAAGCGGGCGTTAACCCCCACTGACGAACAAACAAACGAAGAGATAAAATTGTTTATGAAATTAACTTTGCATGACGACAGTACAGTTATAAAAGGACGACAAGTTAAGTAACGATCTGAATTAGCTATTCAAGAGAAGTAATATCAGGTGCTCCAGGAAGATCATGCGTACCCTGCCTCGACACTCTTCGTTTGTGTGGGTCCAGATGTTAGACGTCAAACTACTGCTAGGAAGATAAAGCCAGATCTACTAGTGAGACGCTGGTCTCGGGTTCGCTCCTGGTGTTCGCCGGGAAAGTTCATCAGGACGGAGGGCCTGACAATGACAGCTGTCTGGTCGTTCGGATGGGACTAACAACCAAGGTCCCAGGTATACATTGACGTACTGGCCAAAGAACCTTTGACAGTTTGAATTCGAAATAAAATAAGACAGTAGTGCAGCTGTCCGGGCATAATTTTCCACCATAACCCATTGTATATCGTATGTCCGTCTCCATTAGTCCAGTCGGTGCAGAATAGTAGGACGTTAAACCTCACTTTATTTCATCTTAACCGAGATATTCTAGTGAAGCGACCACCGACTTTGCATCCATTGTTGGTTCAAACTTAACTGACTTTCCTAATTTGGTTATTAGATATGAAGAGGCCCGAGGAAGAACGATCTAGGTCACTTTTTCAACGAACCCCAGTTAATGGCGCCATCTGGTAACAAATTGTATAAGCTTTCTGCGGAACAATCAATTTCAGAAAAAAACGATCGCAGTCACATCGCACCAGGGCCCTACTGAATTGGCCCCAGGAGAAATACAAGTCCATCGTACCCTTTATTTGACCTTAATTTGGCTGAAAAGTGGAAGTCAGTTGTTGTACTGGTAATTATGATTCGTATTAAACATCATTTTGAAGTTGTAATTAAACCCACTCGTTGTTCTGTTCGCGTCAAGCATTCTCGTCCAAAAGTCTGTTTTGCCTTTTACGCGAAAAGACAAAAATGTGACTTAGATCGTTCTTTGTAGTACTATAGGACTTATTTTTGTTGTGTTTACTTTCTGGCGATCTTTAACAAGACTACAGCATAAAATAGTTTCACAACTTTATTTCTAAGTTGTTATAGCTTGCAGGTTCCTCGTTCTCAATAATAATGGCTGCTAGGAATTTTTGGGTGAGCTCTGATCAAACTCGCTTGTACACCCTAATTTATACCCCTTAATTTCTGCAGGTTTAAGATAACCTTGACGTTAATTTCCATCCCATATAAGGAATAAAACTCTTTATTTCCCACCATAGAGATAGGAGACATTACCTATTTTGGTCTACCAACCATGGGATCAATAAACAGCCAGAATTTGATGGATAATTTGACAATGATTATGATTTAACCAAAATATCACTGGTTTTTTTTATGTATAACTATATATTCACGTTCATCAAGTACGTGTGATTTAACTCTATAGACAGAGTAGAGTAACAATTTTGCAATGAACCAAAATTGTCTCAAGGACCAAAGTGTTACATCTCTCCCCTGGACTCTTCATATAGATTTAGTTGTATCAAAGGAGTTAAATCGCTATTCTTTGGCACCTAGAAATGTATTATGAAGGTAGATAAACTGTTTTTACTGCAATTTCTAATCATTTATGTTCTGCGAAATACGAAAAGAGTCCAAATTGAATGGTAGTCTTTGGCGTCTGGTTATTCGAGTCTACAACGGTAGTATTTACACTATGGGATATGTTTAGCCCCGTTCATCGAGTCACTTCGTTTTTCCAGTGATTACATCTCAATCTAACACTGATTATATCTTATCAAGATAAAACAAACATTCATGACGGATATATCTTAATTTAAAGACGCAGATAACATAATTATTTCAGTTAATGCTGGTTACAACCAGCTATGAACATGTTTTTGACAAATAAACAGGTTCTTATCAAAAATTATCATATCAAAGACTTATGACTATCTAACTATCTATATATAGTTGTATTATTTCGCAGATACATATAAATCAATAATATTATCTTCTGATAACTAAGAAATGCAGTGATGCAATATCGAACCATCAAAGTGAAAAATTCCCTTGTCAGATTATCACAGTGGGATTCAATATCCACTCACGGTTAACTACGTCATTTCAGAACTGGCATTAAATACCATGGCCTGTATTCAGAGAAATACCTCGAAGTAGTCTTAGACACGTTCGTGTGTTTAAGTCATGTTTCAGTCTAAGATGATGAGACTTTTCTTGTTAATATAAATACGTATTTAATTAAAAAAAAAATAATAATAAGCATCAGCCATTGGTTGATATGAAGGTTGCTGTGCAGGGTTATAAATGTCAGCGCCAAAAAGGATTTTATTTAACGATTTCCCACCGCTGATAATCTTCAACCAATAGCCACTGCTTTTTCAGGGTGGCTACTTTTATAACAGGAAATGTTTGTTTCTAGTATATAGAAAATCCTGGCCCGGTGGAGGGCCTACAAAATCCATACGTATTTCAAAATTTGCGTGAAAAGCAGAGGCTATAGCTCTAGAATGTAAGGTCTGATGCGTATCAAAGTTGAACTCATCCAAGAACTTAACACATACTTTAAGTTTCATGAGAAAGGTCCACAAACTTCATTCATATTTCACATTTTGTGTAAAAGGCAAGAAGGGGCAGATGCGCTCGAAAATTGAACTGGCACAAGAACTAGTGATACTCGTTTTAAGTTTCATCTAAATCGGATAAAATTGTGACCTCTAGATGGTCCACAACCTGGGTATTACATGCTTTTATTATAGTATTTGCGTAAGGGGAACGGATATTTGATGGGAAGTTTCGGTCCGATTTTAAGGAAAGTCAAACCCAACCATAATTATGGTGTAACGGTTGTACAGTTTTGAAAATAAGATAAAATTTGTGACAGGTCCATATTATAAAAAAAAACGTAATATTTCATACAATCACGGGACCATAATCCAGAAAGTTACGGTCCAATACGAGCTAATATCGAAAGGAACCCAGATCTTTGGGATATAAATATATATTTTAAGTTTCATCAAAATTGGATAAATAATTCGAACCCCTGGATGGTCCACAACCTGGGTATTACGGTTAGATCTAAATATTAAGGCCACCAGCAGATTTCGTAAACATGGTTAGGGCACGTGATTTCTGCCGAGGATTGTGGGTTAGGGTAAGGGCTAGGACTTGGGTTAGGGTTGGCGCTAGGCCTGTTTACATCTCGTGACCATGACGAAATATTTAAATCTAACCTGGGTATTACATGCTTTTAAGGGGAGCGGCCATTTTGTCGGGCAGTTTCGGTCCGATTTTCACGAAATTTAAACGCAATCGTAATTATGGTGTAACTATGATATATTTCAACGGTTTTCACAATCAAATAAAAACTGTGACTTCTACAGGACCCACAAGCTAAAATGTGCTAATTCGTACAATCAGGGGCAATAATCCAAGAAGTGACGGTCCTATATGAGCTAATATCAAATGGAACCGATATCTTTCGGTTATAAACATACATTGTAAGTTTCATCAAAATCGGATAAAAATTGTGACCTCTAGAGTGTCCACAACCTTGGTATTATTATGCATATATTTGTCAAGGTCAGCATCACAGGATTAAACCACCATCGACTGTGTTTTCATAGTAATGGAATTAGAAAAGAATACAATTTCACTTCATTGTTGAGTAATTTTATTAGCCAGAAATCGCCCAGAAAGCGTCTCCCACGATCTAGACCACCGCTAGCTTCCGGTGCCTAGGCGGCCCCTGGATCTAGGATGGTAGCACATATCAAGAATTGCTTCCGCAATTTAAAGTCCACTCGACAAAAGCTCGGTCATTTCAGGACTAACCTATGGTTCAATTTTATTTCAATACGAGGACCTGGAGAAAACCCACGCGATTGGACAAGCGACCCTACTCCGTGTCACGTACAATTCAGCCATCCACCCCCTCAATTTGTGATTAACGAACGAGTCGTCTAGCGCCCTTTTGGCCATAAATAATGTTACCTATAGAAGTTAATGCTTTTGATCCCACGTCTGTACGTGACAAGCTGGATGACCTTATTACGGTTGATGGACTTAAAACCCCCTCTCTACACGGTATATTTTTAGCATTTTGTTAGTCCTGGGATTCTTTTCAAAATATTACTATATATCATGAAAAACATCATGAAGATTTTACCGAAGATAATTGTGATTTATTAAGTTCTCCCCGGAACCGTGTTTTGTATAGGCTGTTAAAACACGATGTTGGTTTCGTGACTGAACACAGACCATTTAGATAAATTTCCTTCGCATAAATACAATAAGATTCTAATCCGAAGGTTCAGGTAAACTTTCAATGTGAAACACAAAGTTTCTTCAACTCCGATGATTTACTATCGCGAGGGTTAAAGGGTCTTGCACTCGGATCTCATAAAGGAGCTGAACCTCTCACTCAATATTTTCCATAAAATTCGAAATAAAAAACACGAATTAAAATTACGTATTGGACAAATTCAATCAATATTGGTGCTATGTTTTCTGGCGCCGTTTGTAATGAACAAAAGAAAAATACATCCTACAAGGCAATTCAGAAGTAATTAGTGAATGGTGAATTCACAAACGATAAAACAATAATACAAAAATCGTGTAGAGTTGGCGTAAACGACTTTGGACTGTTAAAGTTTTTCACCAAACATAATTGAATAGAAATTACAATAATAATAAATACTGAAAGTTAAGAATAAATGACTTTATATACATTCATATTACATTAATATGTGCTTTTTATGCCCATCTTTGTCTATTTTAAGGTTCCAAAGAATAGAGCCATACACCCTTTAGTTAATATTATGATAAGAGCACATATTATGTTGACTTTTGAGATAATTGTGAATCGCCCTGCTTGTTTACATCTTGAATAGAGACATTACCTGCTTTTGCGCGTTTTGCTAGCCAGTAAACTGCAGCACTGCCAATTCCCCCACAACCAACTACAATATATTCAAAGTGAGTTCTTCCCTCGTCACACCATGTTCGTCTGCTAGCCGCCATGTTTACAAGTGCTTATGTGCAAGATTTATAAAACCTATACACTTATATACCTATATCAGTGGGGTTTTGATGCTTACTGATTATATACCGGTACTATCCAGTTTCTTATCATCTTTCTATATCAACAAATTAGAAATGCAGTATACATACATACGCTATTGCATACAATTATCCCCTTAAAGATACATTAGTTAAGAGGTTAATAAAGAGTTGGCCATTCTTGCTATAATAATTCAAAAATAAATGATAAAAAAGAGAAAATATTGAAAATTTCATTCAAATTACTTCATTCTCAGCCAAGTTATCATTGTTTGTAGTTTTGACAAGATGTGTGCACAGTGGTAACCAGTGATAATCGGGATTTAGCATCGCTTTCCCATTTTTAAATTAAAGTTTTAAATGGCGAACCGTTTTAATCTAGTTGAAATCTCGAGTATCCGATGCCAGCGAGTGTCGATTGTGGCCTTGTTTTGTTAATGAGTGTCTAATTAATAGTTTATATAACATTTCAGGCCTACAATAGGCAGTTTTAGCTCTTGCATAATGTATGTTTAAAGGGACGATATCTCAAAAGTAAAAAAAAAGAATAAAACGCACTGTAAAGTCAATTATTATAAATCATTTCGCACGTACCAGTACGAACGAATATCATTACACGTACAGATTTGGCTGGCTTACCCTTAGTTTTATAAATTCTTTTCTATGAAAAGGGATAGTTACAGAGCCCGGTGTGGGATAATCCGGAACGTACGCGTGAAAATACCTGTAAGTGCGCGCCAGATAATAAGTAATGCACATCAGATAAAATGTGCTCGAAAAATAAGACTTCGGCTAATCTAGCCTATTTCCGGGGCGTGGCATTTTCGGCGTCTCAGTAGTAATTCATTCCGTAGTGCGGGCGTGGTATTTTGGGCTTGTCTGTCAGGGGTGACCCACCACACAAACTGTCTGGCAGCGGTTATTCTTGATTACTGTGGTGATGCTGAACAACTTTCAACCAGTTTTAGGTGGTACAGATTTTAGCTAATCTAGCCTATGTGTGATCTAGCAATTACATACTCTGCCAGGGGTACCCAATCACTAAAAATGTCTGTCGGCGTGTTTTTGTAATATTTGAAGATGTAATAACACTGCTGTACCAATTTCATGTAGTAGACGTTTGAGCAAATCTAGCCCAACAATTCATATCCAGAATCTCAGTCCTCACAGCCACCCACACCCACCGCATTATACCCGACGGTATATACCAGATATGTATGTATTGATACCATATAGGTAAAAAAAATCGGTACACTTATAAAGAGAATTTTCGGTGTAGGTTGTTTTAATTCACCATTTCTTAAAGGGGCATCAACTGAAATTAGATAAAGAGTCGACGGTTTTCGCTATAATAGTTAGATTATGGTATGGTCTGGATAAGTTAATTAATGTCCAATCAATAATTCAGAAAACATTTCAGGCCCCAAAAAGATCTGCAATAGGCAGATTTAGCTCTTGCATAATGCATTTTTAACTAATGGGGTCATCCCGTCAATGACCCCCCCCCCCCCCACACCCACCTACGTATTTTAATCTCATGGTAGTTGCAGTCAAGCATGGGGATTATCAAATACAAAAGGATTAAAACTATAATCCGCTTCACGGAAATGTGGTTTACAACAAAAGTGAAACTGGACAAAAAACAACTTTATAATAATCTCTGAGAGGCATTTAGTAACTGGTTAGAGCAATAAACTATAACACATACTTATGGAAAAACAGCTACTTGTTTATTTGGGCGACGTTTCGAAGAGTATTCTATCAACGTTATAATGGATAAAACCGACTACTAACAGATAAAACTAGGAAAGACCCCACTAAAAACTATACCGAAAAACACACTGCCCAGCTATTGGACCTGAAAGAACAAAATCGACTTATCATCCCTTTATTCTATTAACTCAAGTCGTCTCATCCCAGAGCCCTATATTACAGAGCCACGATTAAAACCCACAAGAACCCCATTAAAGCCAGACTTCTAGTATGCTCCAGAGATTCTGTATTTTACAGTACAGCTCAACACCTGTCCCCATTAGGAAAAGGAGCACCTTCATTCATCAAAGATTCCCAAGATTTCTGCCAAAAACTACAAGACCAACCTAAAGACATACAGATCCTCTCATATGATGGCATCGACCTTTTTACAAATATCCTTCGTGATGAAGCAATAGAAGCACTACGCCACAGATTAACGTCATTAGAGAATCTACTAGACACCAACTTCACGGAAGACATTATCAATCTCACCAGATCATGTATCAATTCCACCTACTTTTCCTGGGGAGGTGATTTTATGAGCAGTTACATGGATTACCAGCGGGGAGACCTTATTCCCAGTTCTCAGTGAGATCTACATGTCTAGTTTCGAAAAGAAGGCCCTATCCACATCACCAGGTCAACCTAAAGCATCGTTCCGTAAGGTCGACGACATTTTCGTCATCCTCAATCAGAATAAAGATCCAAACCTCCTTCTCCGTCACCTCAACAACTAAAACAACAAAATAGAATTCACATTAGAAAAAGAACAGAACCAACGCCCCCCCTTCCTAGACGTCTTAGTAAAGAGATCTACAGACAAAATGAATCCAAGCGTATATAGAAAGCCCACACATACTGATCAGTATATAAAGTTTAAGTCGAACCATAGCCACTCTAGCGCGCCGAGCCGTCAACATCTGCGACGATCAAACCATAACAGAACTTGGCCACATAGAAACAACTCTCACTAACTTCAACAACTCCCCCCGGAAATTAGTCAAGAATATTATTAAGACAACCACTAAGCCTTCAACAGATGTTAGAAAACCAAAACCCGATACACCAGCAGTGAGAATTACCATACCATTCCAAATGAAACTATCATACCATCTCAGAAGGCTCCTCACTCCAACAGGCATCCAGGTCACGGTTACAAAAGGACGAACCCTAAAGCGGGGCTTATGTCGACTTTGCAATCCAAAGCAACTAGTTGCAGTCAGTTGCAAGAGTGCTTATGTCGATCATATCAGCAACTGAGGACAACTGGGAGCAACTGATTTCGGAGCGCTTATGTCGACTCGGAACTGATAGCGATCACACTGAACACGTGACTGTTTATTTATTCATCACGTGATTAACAAAATGGCGAATTACTTAGAAGAAGCAACCCAAAGGCATGATCGGTCTTGCTACAATTCTATTATGTAGTATATTATTGTCGACATCATCAAAACTTGAAAAGTGGGTGTCTTCGTTCGCTTCCATTTGCTTATTTATAAAATCACATGACACGTGTCTCTTATCACGTGATGTTATTTCCATAGAAACGAGTTGACTCCTGTTGCAAGAACGCTCATGTCGACTGCAACTAGTTGCCGCTAGTTGCAGCCAGTTGCAGAAAGTTGAACATGTGCAACTGACTGCAACTGACTGCAACTAGTTGCTTTGAGTTGTAAGAGGCGCTCAGGTCGACTTTTTTCAGTTGCATTCAGTTGCTCCCAGTTGCCGAAACGCAAGTTGCTTTCAGTTGCAAGGTCGACATAAGCCCCCCTTTAAAGACATACTCAAAGCCAATGTAAACTTCCCCCAACCAAAACAAAACCGACTCCAAAGAATGTGTTTACCAAGTCGTTTGTACCTGTCCCATCAAATATATTGGAGAAACGAGACAGCCCATTGACAAAAGAATCAGCCAGCATAAATCAAAGTCCTCTACCACCAACTCGGCCGTGGCCCAACACCTACAATCCAACCAAGGACACAGAATAAAATCGTATACAACTCTGGCAGCCAGCCTTACCGTAGAAAACACCCGAAAACTGATCGAGGGGGATACACATCAAAAGAAACAGTCCAGACCTGAACCGCGACACAGGAATATTCCCGCCAAGTGCTTATGATGGACTACTCTTATATCGAATTCCAACTGCCAAGGGATCTTTTACGTGCATTCCAATGTATACATGGGACCTCCGTTGTCAGGCCCTCCGTTCTGCACCACTGACAAGGGGAAACCACGTCGGAAAATCCAGATGCAGGGATCGAACACCCGACCTCCAGGCTCATTTGATAGTATTTTGGAATAGAAGGCCTCTGTAGAAACCTTTTTTTTTTATAATTAATAAGATTGTTTTATTCTTTCCAAGTAATACTTTCCTAGTAATATTATATCAACTACATCATTTTTTAAGATTTGTTACAATTATTATTATTATTATAAAGTTGTCTTTTGTCCAGTTTCACTTTTGTTGTAAACCACATTTCTGTGAAGCGGATTATAGTTGTAATCCTTTTGCATTTGATAATCCCCATGCTTGACACTGCTCCTACCATGAGATTAAAATCCGCGAGGGGGGGGGGGCATTAACGGGATGACCCCATTAGTTAAACATGCATTATGCAAGAGCTAAATCTGCCTATTGCAGGTCTTTTTTGGGCCTGAAATGTTATCTGAAATATTGATTGGACATTAATTAACTTATCCAGACCATAATCAACTTATCCAGACCATAATCAACTCTCGATGTCATCGTTGGCCTGCGATATTCACTGGATTTGAAAACATTTTGTGATGGATAATTTAACGTAATAATGAATAATGGAGATTTTTTTTGCTATCATACCAACGTCAGTATGATAGACTAGCTTAAAATTCAATGGATAATATCTCGGTTCAGAGGGGAGCAATTTGACTGAAAATTTCAACATATTTTGTTTTCATTTACTTTTGTCTAACTAGTTGCACAACCCTGGTGCGCCTTAGCTCTGCTTAACCTACACCGAAAATTCTCTTTATAAGTGTACCGATTTTTTTTACCTATATGGTATCAATACATACATGTCTGGTATCATCAGAATGTAAGTCTGCCGGGTATCTGGCGGTGGGTGTGGGTGGCTGTGAGGGCTGAGATTCTGGATATGAATTCTTGGGCTAGATTTGCTCAAAAGTGTACTACATGATATTGGCACAGCAGTGTTCTTACATCTTCAATTATTACAAAAACACGCTGACAGACATTTT